GAACTCAAAAGAGACTTTTATAATGATTGCATTCGTGGAAATGTTGCATTTATAATCTTCTGCATTCGTAACAATAGACATGTAGATACTACTATTAATTGAAACATGTTTTTCTGATTTGGATTTATACTCCTATTTGTCCATTTCTGAGCGTTGAAGGCAATTTGTATGTATTACGAATACCTCCGGAAAAATTATGAATTATTCAGATATACCGTTTTTCTTATATTTCCTCGCGGTACTTCATTCTCTCACCCAATTCTACGAAGCCATTTTTCTAGCATTAGCTATTTGCTAACCTCAGGTAATTGCACAGTTCGAAATTTGAGGCAAAGCTTTGGAAATGTACTTTCTCTATGGATATGAAGCCATCTTATTTATAAAGTTCAGAATGAAATCATATACTACTTAGAAAAAGCGAACTTACAATCTTTGCTGACAGATATCATCTAAATATAATTAAAATCAAGCCTTAAAGTCACTATGGATTTATACTTTAAGTGAAATAATTTTAAGTGAATCAGCAATGCTCCAAAAACCGCGTATCTGAGGACATTTACTGTAGCAGGATTTAGCATCAGTATGCAGAGGATAGGAATGCACTCCTAGAGGTTCACACATGCAGAACAATTTATTATAATCCATAGATTTATTATTTAAGAAATAAAACAATATTTTGCAAAAAATATACCTGGTCCATAAGGGCCCATTCCGTAAACTCCAGGACCTGAAAACAGAAAGCATTAATGATTACATTTCCCAAAATTTTGTATGCATACGCTACTGCCTTTGCAACATTAATTCAATTCATGCAAAATAAAACATTGGTAAATAAATTATTAGATGAATTAAAACTTCTTTTTAAGAGAATATGCCTAGTTTTTGTCCATGAATTGTTTGGATTCCAAAACCGTCTTGAACTGAAAACAGAAATTTTTAATGATTGCGTTCCGCGAAAATGTTGCATTTATAATCATCTGCGTTCGTAACGATAGAACAGGTAGATACTAGTATTAATTAAAATATCTTTTAATGATTTGGATTTATTCTCCTGTTTGTCCATTTGTGTGCGTTGAAGGCAATTTATATGTATTACGTATATCTCCGGAAGAATTATGAATCATTCAGATATACCGTTTTTCTCAACATTTTCTCGCGGTACTTGATTCTCTCACCCAAATCTACGAAGCTATTTTCTTAACGAATAAGCGATTTAATCTAACCTCAGGTAATTGCGCAGTTCGAAAATTGAGCCAATGCTTTGGCCATGTACTTTCTCTATGGATAAGGAAGCCATTTTATTAATAAGTTCAGAGTGAAATTATATACTAATTAGAAGAAGCGAACATACAAATCCTTGCTGACAAATATCATCTAAATATAAATAAAATCAAGCATGAAAGTCACTATGGATTATATACAAACAAAATAAAGAAAACAGATCATGCTTTACAAAAAATGCAAGAAATCTTAAAGTTGTCTTAAAGGCTCTTGCTTAAGCCCTTTATTTTCGAATCTTATTTTAAACGAAGTATTAAAACTATCTCACAATATAAACCATACCCATATCCAAGCTAATGAAGATGATTTTCTTCTCATTGTGAACGCAAGTAGCCGGAAATCAATAGAAATTAACTCCAAATTTTCTTTTAAATTTTTCGCCATTGGGAAGATAAATTTAATCTTAAATTTCAACTACAAAATGTAAAGCATTATATATCCCAAAAAAGAGATACCTCCATCAGTAACCTAAGAAAATCAATATTTAGAATTTCTCCAGACAAAATTAAAATTGACAAGAGCATTACATATCTGGAAAAAGTAATAGATACTCGGCAAACCTGGCATTACCATATTCTTTATCTCAAAAACCCTTCACAATTCTCTTCGATCTGTAACAGCAAGCACTTGGGGCATTTCCTCAAAAGTTAGAGTAATAATGGTACATAAGAATTATTGAAAAGCTACTACTATACGAAGCTTCCGCCTGGACTTTAACCTTGAACTCCCGTACTCAAAAACATTTACTCTCAATCCAAAGAAATGTTCTCCTCTCTCTAGGAAACGCATATAGAACTACTCCAACTAGTGCACTACAAATAATAACCGGGATCTTTCCAGCATCTGTATCTCTAATAAAAGGAGCAAACAAAGTAAGAATATCAAGACTATGAATCCAAAGCATTAGTAATAATATTAATTATCAACCCACAGATTTTGAAGATCAAAAACACAACTTTGAGTTGCATCCTACAAAATTTTACACAAACTATCTTTTGGCAAAATCTGAACTCCATAAGTATTAACTTACCATATATGGTTCGAATATGGTTCAAAATTTGTAGCAGGCTTCGATAGTGCACATTGCGCATTCCGAAAAAATTCAAATATTAAAAACTGGCATATTCGTTTAAACATTAACAACTGAATTTTTCAGCCGGAAAAATTTGCAATTAAAGAAGCTATATACTTCGCGAGAGAACTTTCTATAGCGTCCTTAATCCTATCAGACATTCCGTCTGGTATTGAAGCCATAATTGGAAACAATCGGTCGCTTATTGTGTACGAAATTCCTATTCAACACTCTAAATTTCAAGGCAATAATAGACCCCATTTCAAATGGATTAAAGTACACATCTCTACTAGTAGCAACGAGCTCACAGATAAAATAACAAAAAGAGGCAGCAAAGAATTCTTACTTTTCAAAATAGGCAATTCCATATCCAATATCATTAGCAAAAACAAAATTAGTAACAGAATTAATGCACTGATGGAAGCAAACCTGTACTCAAGCAACAGCCGACAGAACTTTTACTTTCAAATCCTTCCAGACCATTAAAATCTATCAATCGTTCAATTACATTTTTCCTAACAGCTTATAGTCCATTTACAGTATACATTAATAGATACGGACTTCACCTTACAAATATCTGTACCTGTGGAAATAAAGGTACAATAGACCATTATATCTTTCAATGCAACCTTACTAAAGATTATCACCTTAAAGCATACAATTTAACTTCTGCTCAGTTATGGTTTGAATAGTTATTAAAAAGTATTATTCTAAGAGATCACCTCCAAAATTTAATAAATTATACCTCCGCAAACATCGATAATCTTAAAGGAACTTGAAATCCTATTATTTTTTGTTCATTTACCTTACTTAATACACCCTCCATTTTGATATTTCATTTCAATTAATTACTTTTTTAAAACATATTTCCTTGCTTTCACTCAAGACTATCCTTATTTTAGTGCATCTTCAAGATCTCCGAAGCTCAATAAAGAATTTAAGAATATTTTCTAACACCATATCCTTAATATATTAATCTTAAATATATTAATAAAATCTCAAGATTATTAGTCAGGACCTTTACTCAAGAATTACACTCTATCAAGAATTTCCAAGAGCATTTCATTGAAGTCATCGTTATTCATTCAAATATTATTTCTCATCAACTTTTATTCAATTTGCTGTTCACTCTCCATAATCAAAAGCTATACTCTTATTCTAAACTCTTTACAAAACTTACATTCTCAGCCTTTACCTTTCTCATACATTATGTTGTTTGTTCGTTTTCAAAAAATTTTTAATGAACATCTTAAGTACTTTATTTCGTAGTATTTATGTTTCATTTACTTACATATTTATTTAGGTATTATGTATTTTTATATTTATGGTTGTTTTAAAAATTTTATTACATAAATCTCAGAGTTCATAACTATCTTTACTTCATATATAACGGCATTGCATTTGGGCATTTATCTAATTCTAATTTTTAATTTTTATTTATTGCGTTTTTTATGTGTTTATATATTTATTTCTTGATATTTAATTTTATTATACAATTCTCAAAGTTCAAAAATTTAATTGAATTTTATATATAACAGAACAGTTGGTAAATGATTCCACCAGTTTAGCATAAAAGTTGAATGTCTTGAAGGCAGTGCTGTTGCTCATCTGATGGTAAATAAATAAATAAAGTTTTGCTGACATTTTGTACATTTTGTTAAGTTCAAACTGTAAACCTAAGGCTATTAAAATCTTCGTTAAACGTTGTACTACCGATTATAAAAATCTCGCTAGTCGGATAATGTACTGCTAAAAAGTGTTTAATTTAGTTTCACAAGTGTTAGTACTATATGGTGCTCTCAAAACAGTCAAGTTGAATGCCTGAAGACGGAATCACATTCATATTGCTCGCTACAAGATTCCAAATGGTCATAGCACCGGCAACACGTTGAAAACTTCTCGTATCGAAGAAGTAGAGTCCGTTCCTCGTGCACATGGTACATGAAATAAAAATGGGTCTTTATAGCTCCGTAGAACCATCAAGCGCAAAATGGCAAAAATTGTCATAAGAAATATTTTTAAGTGAATCAGCAATACTCTGAAAACCGCATATCTGAGAACATTTACTTTAGCAGGATTTGGCATCAATATACAGAGTATACGAATGCACTCCTAGAGGTTCACACACGCAGATAATATTTATTATACTCCATAGATTTATTATTTAAGAAATAGAACAAATTTTGTAAAGAATATACCTGGTCCATAAGGGCCCATTCCGTTAACTCCAGGACCTGAAAAGAGAAAGCATAAATTATTACATTTCAAAAAATTTTGTATGTATACTTTTCTGCCTTTGCAACAATGATGATGCTAGCCTATAGCTCTCAAGATGAAATTCCTCTTTGACTCTTGTAGAAGAATTAGAGTTTGTTCCTCGCGTACATGGTAGTGTAAATAAAAATGGGTCCATATACCACCGCAGAACCATCAAGCGTAAAATGGCAACATTGGAAGCCGAAATATTGCTAAGTGAATCAGCAATGCTCCGAAAACCGCATATTTGTGAAGATTTATTATAGGAGGATTTAGCATCTGTATACAGAGGATAGGAATGCACTCCTAGAGGTTAACACATGCAGAACAATTTATTATACTTCATAGATTTATTATTTAAGAAATAAAAAAATAATTTTTAAAGAATATACCTGGTCCATAAGGGCCTATTCCGTAAACTCCAGCACCTGAAAACAGAAAGCATTAATGATTGCATTTCCCAAAATTATGTATGCATACTTTTCTGTTTTTGCAAGATTAAGACAATTCATGCAAATTGAAACATTGGTAAATGAATTATTAGATAAATTAAAACATCTTTTTAAGAGAATATTCCTAGGTTTTGTCAATGAATTGTTTTGATTCCAAAACCTTCTTTAACTGAAAACAGAAATGTTTAATGATTACATTCTCGGAAATGTTGCATTTATAATCTTCTGCAGTCATAACGTTAGAAAGGTAGATACTAGTATTCATTAAAATATCTTTTACTGGTTTAGATTTATACCACTATTTGTCCATTTCTGAGCGTTGAAGGTAATTTGTATGTATTACGAATATCTCCTGAAGAATTATAAATCATTCTGATATACCGTTTTTCTCACATTTTCTCGCGGTACTTGATTCTCTCACCCAAATCTACGAAGCTATTTTCCTAACAATTAGCGATTTATCTAACCTCAGGTAATTGCGCAGTTCGAAAATTGAGCCAAAGCTTTGGCCATGTACTTTCTTTATGGATAGGAAGCCATTTTATTAATAAGTTCAGAGTGAAATTATATACGAATTAGAAGAAGCGAATATACAAATCCTTGCTGACAAATATCATCTAAATATAAATAAAATCAAGCATGAAAGTCACTATGGATTTATACCAAATAAATAAACAGATCATGCTTTACAAAAAATGCAAGAAATCTTAAAGTTGTCTTAAAGGCTCTTGCTTAAGACCTTCATTTTGGAATTTCATTTTAAACGAAGTATTAAAACTATCTCACAATATAAACCATACCCATATCCAAGCTAATGAAGATGATTTTCTTCTCATTGTGAACGCAAGTAACCGGAAATCAATAGAAATTAACTCCAAATATATATTCTTTAAAATTTTTTCGCCATTGGGAACATAAATTTCATCTTAAACTTCAACTACAAAATGTAAATCATTATATATACCAAAAAAGAGATACCTCCATCAATAACCTAATAAAACTAATAATCAGAATTTCTGAAGAAAAAATCAAAATTGACAAGAGCATTACGTATCTGGGAAAAGTAATAGATACTCGGCAATCCTGGCATTACCATATTCTAAATCTCAAAAATCCTTCACAATTCTCTTCGATCTGTAACAGCAAGCACTTGGGGCATTTCCTCAAAATTAGAGTAATATGGTACATAAGAATTATTGAAAAGCTACTACTATACGAAGCTTCCGCCTATGCTTTAACCTTGAACTCCTGTACGCAAAACATTTACTCTCAATCCAAAGAACTTTTCTCCCCTCTCTAGGAAACGCGTATAGAACTACTCCAACTAGTGCACTACAAAATAATAACCGGGATCTTTCCAGCATCTGTATCTCTAATAAAAGGAGCAAATAAAGTAAGAATATCAAGACTATGAATCCAAAGCATTAGTAATAATATTAATTATCAACCCACAGACTTTGAAGATCAAAAACACAACTTTGAGTTGCATCCTACAAATTTTAGCACAAACTATCTTTTGGCAAAATCTGAACTCCATAAATATTAACTTACCATATATGGTTCGAATATGGTTCAAAATCTGTAGCAGGCTTCGATAGTGCACATTGCGCTTTCCGAAAAAATTCAAATGTTAACACTGCTTTTGGGTTTCATGCTAGAAATTCCTTCTCGCTCTTGTAGAAGAATTAGCCTTAGTTCTTCCTGTACATGATACTTGAAATAAAAATGGGTCCTTATACCAAAATTAGCGCAGAAACAACAAGAGCCAAATGGCTACAACAGCATCAGAAATTGTTTTAAGTGAATCAGCAATGTTCTGAAAGCATTTCCTGTAGCAGAATTTAGCATCAGTATGCAGAGGGGAGGACATCATTCAATCATTTACTCAATCATTTAATATTATTTATAATACACCAGAGATCTATTATTAAATAAATAAAACAATACTTTTTAAAGAATATACCTGATCCATAAAAACCCCTTCCGAAACCTTCCTGACCTAAAAACAGAAAACATTTATAATTACATATCCCAAAATGTTTTATGGAAACGCTTCTGCTTTTGCACCATTAGGACAATTATGCAAATTAACCCATATTTCATCAGTGTCCCCAAAATAGGGCAGCACGCATAAATGCTCTTGGTATTAAGTCTTTGCAATAAAATAATTCAAATTAAAGACGATATATTACTTAGGAAATATTTCACTATATATTTGTCTTTATCGTAAGTTAGAATCAATTTAGATATTTTTTATTTATTTTTAAAATCTTGCAAATTGTTTTGCGTACGTTTTTAACGTACAAGTTTAATACAATTTTGAGCTCGAAGAAAAGCATGCATATAAACTTACTAAGATAATATTCCATACTTTTATACCAGCAAAAAAATTATCAAACATTTTACTTAACAGATAAATTGTTCTTGCATTTTTAACTGTGCTAAATATTGGTCGACGGGAAAATAAATTGATTTTCTTAGGTTATTGATGGAGGTATCTCTTTTTCGGGATATATAATGCTTTACATTTTGTAGTTGAAATTTAAGATGAAATTTATCTTCCAAAGGCGAAAAAAATTTAAAGAATATTTGGAGTTAATTCCTATTGATTTCCGGCTACTTGCGTTCACAATGAAAAGAAAATCATCTTCATATGCTTGGATATGGGTATGTTTAATATTGTCAAATAGTTTTAATACTTCGTTTAATATAAGATTCCAAAATGAAGGGCTTAAGCAAGAGCCTTTAAGACAACTTCAAGATTCCTTGCATTTTTTGTAAAGCATGATCTGTTTATTTATTTGGTATAAATCCATACGTATAAATGGGTATAAACCTTACTTTCTCTGTTACGTTCCAAACATTCCTATTCCGCAACTAATGCAGGCACTTTTGTCTAGATGCCAGGTGCACATCACGTGAAACACAGGTGTGTAAAATTTGGGGGACGTGGTTGAGTAAATGTTTCAAATATTTACCAAAAAGTCAGTTTGTTATTCTTAAATTCATCCAGTAAACTAATTTTTTCTCATTTCTGCATGCTTTAATTTTGGAGAAAAATAAAACCCAAAAGCACAAAAATTATTTAAAAGAACCTCAGGAAATCGTGAATGATTCATTATCTCATACAATTGTCCAGAATATGTTGCCAATAATTACAAACCCTGAGATGCATTAGATCTATATCGATAATTTCGTTACTTTCCATGAATTATTAACACTTGTGTCAAATGAAAATTTCGTCGCTACAGGTTCCGTTAGAGAACGCAGAATGTCTATATGCGCAATTATACCATCTGAAACAACGGCTAAAATGGAACGCTCTTCAGATCGAAATTTTGATTCAAAAAACAAAGCTGCAGCATTTTGAATGAATGACAGTGGTGTTGTTTCAGTAGTGCCCAATTTCAAAGAAACAAAAAGTATATGATCCTTCGAAAAGAAGAATAAAAAGTACCAGAAAAGAGGTGCAGGTATCAATGTGCATTGCATCCTGTGGTAATCAATATAGAAGAATTAGAGTCAGTTTCTGGTGTGCATATTATTTAAAATAAAAATGGTTGCTTATACCAACGCCCAACGCAAAAACATTCAGGGCAAAAAGGCAACAATTGCATGCGAAATATTTTTAAAAGAAGAAACTGACAGAACATACTGAAAGACACATTTCATGTGTAGAGCCATTCCTATAGCGAAATTTAGCAACAGTATACAGAGGATAGTCATACATGACTATACTCTTAGATGTTAGCACATGCAGATAATATTTATTCTACAGCATAGATTTATTACCAGATAAATAAACAATATTTTGTAAAAAATATACCTGGTACATAAGGGCCCATTCCGAAGCCTTTTGCACCTGAAAAAAGAAATCATTAGTGATTATATTCTCTAAAAACGTTTGTACGCATACGCTTCTGCCACTTCAAAATTAGGACAATTAATGCAAATAAAAATATTCGTAAACTTATTAAAGGATAAATCAAAACTTTTGTTTCAAGAATATTCCTCGTTTTTGTCCTTGAATGTTTTTGATTCCCAAACCTTCTAGATCTGAAAACACAAGTATTTAATGATTACGTTCGGAGAAATGTTGCATTTACAATCTTCTGCATTCGTAACGTTAGAAAAGTAGATACTAGTATTAATTAAAATATTTTTTCTGCTTTGGATTTTGACCCCTATTTGTCCATTTCTGAGCGTTAAAGGAAATTTGTATGTATTACGAATATCTCCGGAAGAATTATGAATTATTCAGATATACCGTTTTTCTCATTTTTTTCTCGCGCTACTTGATTCTCTCATCCAACTCTACGAATTTTTTTTTCTCGCATTAGCGATTTACTAACCTCAGGTAATTGCGCACTTCGAAATTTGAGCCAAAGCTTTGGCCATGTACTTTCTCTATGGATATGAATCCATCTTTTTTAATAAGTTCAGAGTGAAATTATATACTACTTGGAAGAAGCGAACTTACAATCCTTACTGACAAATATCATCTAAATATAAATAAAATCAAGCCTGAAAGTCACTATGAATTTCTACTTTAAGTGAAATAATTTTAAGTGAATCAGCAATGCTCCGAAAACCGCGTATCTGAGGACATTTACTGTAGCAGGATTTAGCCTCAGTATGCAGAGGATAGGAATGCACTCCTAGAGGTTCACACATGCAGAACAATTTATTATAATCCATAGATTTATTATTTAAGAAATAAAACAATATTTTGCAAAGAATATACCTGGTCCATAAGGGCCCATTCCGTAAACTCCAGGACCTGAAAAAAAAAAGCATTAATGATTACATTTCCCAAAATTTTGTATGCATACCCTACTGCCTTTGCAACATTAATTCAATTCTTGCAAATTAAAACATTAATAAATGAATTATTAGATGAATTAAAACTTCCTTTTAAGAGAGTATGCTTGGTTTCTGTCTATGAATTATTTTGATTCTTAAACCTTCTTGTCCTGAAAACAGAAATTTTAGTTATTACATTCGAACAAATGTTACACCTTTAATCTCCTGCATATACAGCCTCAGTACAATAATACGCGTATTAATTAAAATATCTATTTATGATCTGGATCTATACTCCTATTTTCCATTTCCGAGCGTTCAATGCAATATCACTTGCTGATATTCCCGGAAGAGTTAACAGTTGTTCAGATATTCCGTTTTTGTGACGTTTTCTTGCTGTAAGTGTTTATCTCCCCAAGCTCTCGGACGCAAGTATTCTAGCATTAGCGATTTTGCTAACCGCAGTAACTTGCGCAGTTAGAAATTTGATCCAAAGGATTGTCCAATTGTTTTCTCTCAGGCTACGAATCATTTAATTTAGTAATTACGTACTACCTAAACTATGCGAATTGATGCAAATTGCGCACTAGAAATTCAAGCTATGATCGCAATTCCTGTTCATTTGCCTTGAAACTTTCATCATTTGCATGTTCGATCAAGATGCTTTTGCATACCAAATTTCGTCCCGATCGCAAAATCTTTCTTGGTGCTTCGATTATTTTTGTAAAAGAGTGTATGATAACTTCCGAGGGTATCACTCCTTTATCTGAGAAATTTCAGCAATTGAGGTTTTCCCAAAACCAGAAACTGTGAAAGAAATTCGGACTTTTCTGGCTATGTGCAATTTTTACCACCGTTTTATTCCACAAGTTGCCAAAGCTCAATCAGTACTTAATACATATCTAAAGGGAGCGATGAAGAACGATAAAAGACTAATCACATGGCCGGTAGTAAATGCAAATTCATGAGAAATGTAAGAAAGATCTGGCAGACGACACGATGTTGCACCATCCTTCTTTAGAGACCTTACTCGAAATTGTAGTTGATGCTTCTGACACAGCTATGGGTGCAGCTCTTCACCAACAAGTTGAAAAAGGATATCAACCTCTGCTTTCTATTCAAAAAACTATCTCCGAAACAACAGCGATACAGTGCGTAAGCTGGAAAATTCCTTGAATCATGCATGGCCATAAGGAAATTTTGATATATGGCTGATGGAAGTAACATCATTTTATTCCCGGACAACAAACCGCTTACATTTGTATTTCGGCAAAAAGAAGATAAATGCTCCCCACGAAAACTAAGACAAAGGGATTTTATCAGCAAATTTACGACTAAAATTCGCTACTTTAAAGGTTCAGAAAATTTGGTAGCGCAAGCGCTGTCTCGGGCTCATATAGCTACCATCAGCTATCGAAAACTACTAGCTTGCCTAGGAGCAAGAAAATGACGCCGAATTGCAAAATATATTATCAGGAAATTCGACTACCTCATTAGCGCTGCAAGGTTTCAGAGCCATTTGGAAGGATGAACTGCAAGCAAACATAGAAGAAATGATGTGCGGAGCTCCAATTCGTCTCCCAGGAGAATGTTGCGCCCTACTCCTGGAATCCCAGATCCAGTGACTTTTGTCGGAAAGCTTCACTAATCTATGCAACGTCTCCTACCTCCACCAGACTAACCTCATGACGAGCAAGCGGTATTCGTCAGCAAAGAGCCACCTGCAGTCATGTTTATCTTTGATAGCATGTAGTGAAAAGAAGCCTTCAGCCGCCATACAAAGGCGCTTTACTCGCTCCGGCCGGCCCGTACGCTTCAGTCCCCGCCTAGCTAAAATCTCGCTATCGCTAGTGGGGGAGGCTGCCTGTAGCGATGACCGGACTATTATTCTTGACAAGCACGCCTCGAATGCCAATAAAGAATAAAAGATGGTGACGCGGGTCGAAAAGAGAAGAAGTAGACAGACGTCGAAGTTCATTGACACATTGGACATGATATTCGGAGGTACGCTATTCAAAGTTCCAATTGTTTCGATTCGAAAATGTTGTAATATTTCCAGTATGGCATAAGTAACTGCTATAAAAAAATTCTAACTTGTTTATAAAGAATTTGCATCTTACATTCTAAAGTTTGTATCAAGCATTATAATATGTATATAATGCAAACCACTAAGTACACTTATACCCTCTGAAACAATGTCGAAAATGGAACGCAGCCCTTCAGATAGCAAGTTTGTTTCTAAAACCAAAGTTGCAGCAATTCGACGGATTGACAGTGGTGTTGTTTCACTAATTCCCAATTGGGAAAGAAAAAAAAGTGTATCAACAGTAGAAAAAAGAGTAAAAATAACAAAAAAGAGGTACCGATATGAAATTTCATTGCGTCCTACAGTAATCAATTTAGAAGAATTAGAGTCAAATCCTCGTGCGCAACATAGTGGAAATAAAAAGTTTAATATACTAAAACACGCCCAAAAACATCCAGTGCGAAAAGGCTACAATTGCATCCGAAATCTTTTTAAATGAATCAACAACGTTCTCAAAGCCGCCTTTCCAAAATCCATGCCTGTAGTCTCCTGTGCAGAGCATTTCGTATTGCAGAATTTATCATCTGTATCCATAGGCTAGGACTGTATTCTCAGAGATTGAAACATGTAGATCAAAAATATTTAGTATGTTCCACAGATTTCTTATTAGATAATTACAACAATATTTTGAAAAGAATATACCTGGTCCATAAGGGCCCATTCCGTTAACTCCAGGACCTGAAAACAGAAAGCATTAATGATTACATTTCCCAAAATTTTGTATGTATACTTTTGTGCCTTTGCAACATTAAGACAATTCATGCAAATTGAAACATTGGTAAATGAATTATTAGATGAATTAAAACTTCTTTTTAAGAGAATATGCCTAGTTTTTGTCCATGAATTTTTTGGATTCCAAAACCGTCTTGAACTGGAAACAGAATTTTTTAATGATTGCATTCGCGGAAATGTTGCATTTATAATGTTCTGCATTCGTAACGATAGACAGGTAGATACTACTATTAATTGAACATGTTTTTCTGATTTGGATTTATACTCCTATTTGTCCATTTGTGAGCGTTGAAGGCAATTTGTTTGTATTACGAATATCTCCGTAAGAATTATGAATTATTCAGATATATCGTTTATGTCACATTTTCTCAGAGTAGTTGTTTCTCTCACACAGCTCTCTGAAGCTAATATTCTACCATAAGCGATTTTGCTAACCGTAGTTAATTGAGTAGCTAGAAATTTGATTCAACGCTTTGGCGATTTGTTTTCTCTCTCGCTGCGGCGTCATTTAAATTAGTAAGTACATAATTATGTACTACTAGTATGTTAAATTATGTACTACCTCAAAGAAGAGAACGTACAATCCTTGCTTACATTTTCTACATTTTGTTAAGTTGAAACCGTAAACCTAAGCTTATATAAACGGTTCTTTAAAATTTATGCAGCAGATTATACAATACTCGCTTGTCAGATAAAGTAGTGTTAAAAGGTCTTTAATTTAGTTTCATAAATGGGGAGTACTACACGGATCACTCACAACTGTTGCGTTGAAGGCCTGGAGATTGAGCGAAATTCATTTTTTTCGCTTCAGGATCCCAAATGCTCATAGAAATATCAAGACATATGGAAATTTGGCGTTGCAATACACCACATCAACCCAATATCTATTAACATAGCCTTTAGGTTTCATGCTACAAATTCCTTCTAGCTCTTGTAGAAGAACTAGCCTTAGTTCTTCGTGTATATGATACTTGAAATAAAATGGGTCCCTATACCAAAACTAGTGCAGAAACATCAAGAGCAAAATGGCTACAACTGCATCAGAAATTGTTTTAAGTGAATCAGCAATGTTCTGAAAGCATTTCCTGTAGCAGAATTTAATATCAGTATACAGAGGGGATGTCATCATTCAATCATTCATGCAGATATTATTTATAATACACCAGAGATCTATTATTAAATAAATAAAACAATACGTTTTAAAGAATATACCTGATCCATAAAGTCCCCTTCCGAGACCTCCTTGACCAGAAAGCAGAAAACATTTATAATTACATATCCCAAAATTTTTTATGGAAACGCTTCTGCTTTTGCACCATATTAGGACAAATAATGCAAATTAACCCATATTTCATCAGTGTCCGCAAAACAGGGCAGCACGCATAAATGCTCTTGGTATTAAGTCTTTGCAATAAACTAATTCAAATTAAAGACGATATATTACTTAGGAAATATTTCACTATATATTTGCCTTTATCGTAAGTTAGAATCAATTTAGATATTTATTAGTAATTTTTAAAATCTTGATTTTTGCAAATTGTTTTGCGTACGTTTTCAACGTACAAGTTTAATACAATTTTGAGCTCCAAGAAACGTATGCATATAAACTTACTTAGATAATATTCCATACATTTATACTAGCAAAAAAAATGATCAAATCATTTTACCCTAACAGATAGATTGTCCTTGCATTTTTAACTGTGCTAAATATAGGTCGACGGGAATATAAACTCCTACAAAATTCCCATACGTATAAATGGGGATAATCCTTACATTCTCTGTTACGTTTCAAACATTCCTATTCCGCAAATAATGCAGGCACTTTTGTCTAGATGCCAGGTGCACATCACGTGAAACAAAGGTGTGTAAAATGTGGGGAATGTCTTGAGCAAATTATTCAAAGATTGACCTATGAAGTCAGTTTGTATTCTGAAATTCATCGAAGTAGACTAAATTTATCTAGTTTTTGCATGGTTGAGTTTTGGAGAGAATAAAAATCCAGAGACTCAATAAAAGAAACCTTATCTCATACAATTGCCCAAATATTGCTGCCAACAATTACAGACACTGAGACACATAAGATTTACACGGATCATTACGTCAGATGAATTAAAAGTATTATCCGTTTTTCAAATAAACCCCGTTCGCTGCCTCTGCTTACTGTTAGAGAACGCATTCCTAAATGCCCACTTAGACCCACTAAAACAATGTCGAAATTGGAACGCGGTTCTTTAAATCGAAATTTTGATTCAAAAAACGAAGTTGCAGCAGTTCAAAGGAATGAGATTGGTGTTGTTTCAGTAATGCCCAATTTCGAAGAAACATAAAGTGTATCAGCCGTAGAAAGAAGACTGAAACGTAGTAGAAAACAGGTGAGGATTTTCAATGTGCGTTGGATTCTACAGTAATCAATTTAGAAGTCTTAGAATCAGTTCGCCGAATACATAATTGTTGAAATAAAAACGATTCCTTATGCCAACGCCCGCGCAGAAACATCCAGTGTAAATTGGCTAGAATTGCATGCGAAATAATTTTACGTGACTCAGAGGCGTACTGAAAGCTGCATTCCTGTTAGCATTTCCTATTGTTTTCTGTGTACAGCATTTCCTATAGCGTAATTTAGCATCAGTTTACAGAGGATAGGTCTGCACATCTAGAGATTCTCACAAGCAACTAATATTATTTCTACACCATATATTTATTATCAGATAAATAAAGCAATATTTTGTAAAGCATACACCTCTTCCAAAAGGGCCCATTCCGAAAACTCCTTGACCTGGAAACAGAAATCATTAGTGATCATATGATCTAACATTTTTTTACTCATACCCTTCCGGCTTTCTAATATTAGGATAATTCATGGAAATTAAAGCTTTAGTAAATGTATTAATAGATAAATTAAAACTTTTTTAGAAACGAATATACCTGGCTTTTACCCGTAAATTATTTTGATTCCAAAACTTCTGGACCGGAAAACAGAAAATTTAATGATTACATTCGGAGAAATGTTGCATTTTTAATCTTCCGCATTTACAACGTTAGAACAGTAAATACGAGTATTAATTAAAATATTTATTACGATACTTATCTATACTCGTATTTGTGCATTTTTTAGCATTGAAGGTAATGCATATGAGCTACGAATATCTCCGGAAGATTTATGAATTATTCAGATATACTTTTTTTTTGTCACATTTTCTCGCAGTAGTTGTTTCTTTCCCCCAGCTCTCCGGAGATAGTACTCTAACATTAGCGGTTTTGTTATCTCTGCATTCTCATCTTTTTATAATTTGATTTATATTTCACAACTACTCAATCCTCCGTTTTGGCTGATGAGTGTAAATTCTTTCAATAATCTGTTTCGATCCGTCCACAGGGCTGTTTTTGATCTCACACAGTCACATCACGAATATCTTAAGGATTAGCAAGAAGGGGAAAAGCAGAAATGATATCTGTCAGGAAAAAAAAACACGAAAAACGCACACGCGGTACATCTGAAGGATTGCGGTGGCCATTTCATAAGAACAGCGTCTTCTCTTCCATTACCCTGTAAAAATACTACTTATATTATTGGCAAAGCTTATTTTAGGTATTACAGCAAAAATTATCTTCCGAGGGGCAAAATCTGACACAATTCTCTCGCAGATGCATTTCTCAATGGTCACTGCAGTAATAAGCAGCACGACTATCAATCATGTAGGAAAGGCAATCATTCCTGATTTCATGTTTAAGCGTTGCATCGACTATATTTTCTATATGTCCGGAGACTCCTGCCATTTACGAGCAAATACACTGACTACCAATACGTATTTGGACAGCTATGCAAATGACGATATCCGCGGTCCTAAAGTACGTCACGGACTCCGCCGGTATATATCGTGTAGGAAACAGCATCGGCATTAGTCGCATGCAAGATGCGTCGCAGTTCGGAGCTTTCTGATTTCGAGAAATGTATAATTATCCGGTACCACAAATGTGGCCGATCCTTAAGGGATATATCTAGCGATCTGAAGTACCAAAACTGACAGTGGCCTATATGATTAAGAAGTGGAAGGTGAGCGGTGATTGTCGGAATGTGCCCCGAGTCGGCAGAACAACGAAACTAGGAGATAGAGACCGACGAGTGCGTCCACAGAAATTCGGAAAAACCCCACCCAACCGATGGCCCTCATTCGTGAGGAGTTTCAACAGGCATCCGGGAGCATTGTTTCAATGAATACCATCCGTAAGGAAGCACACCTGCTTGGTTTTCATTGTCGTGCTGCTGCCCATAAGCCTTGATCACAAAGGCCAACCGCGCTGCTCGGTTAATGTGGTGCAAAGCACACCGAAATTGGACCGTAGATCAGTGGAAACGGGTTCTTTGGAGTGACGAATCAAGGTGCACCCGTAACCGTTCGGATGGCAGGGTCTGGGTCTGGCGTCTACCTGGAGAACATTTCCTGCCAGAATGCATTGTGCCAACAGTCAAGTTCGGCGGAGGTGGAATTATGGTCTGGGGATGTTACTCCTAGTATGGGCTGGGACCCTTGGTCCCCATTCATAGTAAGCTCAACTCCGACGCCTACTGCACTATTTTGGATGACAATGTGCTTCCTACGTTGTGGCAGTTTTACGGGTTGGACCCCTGTTACTTTCAGGACGACAATGCCAGTTGTCATGTTTCGACGTTAACCAAGGCTTGGTATAGTGCCAATGGAGTTTATCGAATGGACTGGCCGGCCCAGAGTCCAGACCTGAACCCTATCGAGAACCTGTGGGACGAGTTGCATCGCCGAATTCAGGGGTGCACTACCCTTGCAAAATCGGTGAAGGAACTTCTATGTCTTCTCCAAGCCGAGTGGAATAAAATACCACTAGCTCTCATACAAAGACTTGTGGAAAGTAAGCCCCGTAGGGTCCACGCAGTAATTGCTTCTCGTGGAGGCTCTACCAACTATTGATTTTGAACAAAGTTAGTTTTTCTTTTCTATCACAGGTGTCCAAATACTTATTGGTAGTCAGTGTATCTCTCTTATTAACAAACATGGGCACATACAGTGAGCGGTTTCGGAGAAAATATTATATTCTACTTCAGTATAATAAAATTTATAATAAAATTTGTAAATTTATTACAAATATGTTTGCTAATTTACCAGCGCAAAGGGGCGGTAGCGCAGAGGGGCTGTTAGTCGCGAAACGGTATCTTGTGGCGCTTCACTATAAACAGCGAATCAAGTTTTAAATTGTCGCCATCAAATATTATCTCCCAGGATTATATTTAAAACGAAATAAATAATAAGAATTCTTCATGAATAAACGTATGTTTCTCACTTTGTGAAAAAATCTACGGTACCTAGAACCATCAAATTTTGAAAAACGTAATCCTCTACTTGAATCATGGGAACCTGGAAGCCCGAGCTTGAAATTTGTTCTATTGTGCATTTCATATTTTATAAACCTTTAACGAATTTTTGAGTAACAAACTCGACTTCAAAGCGGGCAATGGCAACAATGTATGAAGAAAAATTATCTCCAGCGCGCAAGACTGTCTATCGGAAACTCCAAAAAACTCTAAAGATATGCTCTTTTTAAATATTTTGTAATATTGCTGTTGCATTCAGTTTTATGGTTTAACTGCGAAGAAAATATTTAATAAATAAATGTAACAAACAAAATTTTAAAGAAAAACCACTTTGGGCGTAATATAAAATCTGAAAGCTTTCGGAATTTTTATTTATTTTTTTTTTTGGTCATGCAATTTTAAAATACACTCATGTCCATAAATTAAGGATAATGCAAAATCAGGCAAAGGAAGAGTTAGAAGCAAAACAAATTTGACTTATTTGTAAAGCTTACTTATTAAACAAAAGGAAAAGAGCAAAAAAAAAGATGCTATATGTTTGATATTATTTTAAAAAAATAGAGATTTTTTTCTCCCTGGAGCAAATTACAAAAAAGACCTATTTACAAAAAATCAATATTGCATGGTTGGTATGATTGTTAATACATTGTATATGTCTCCCAGACGATGCAATACAGTCCGTACAACGCCTAGGCATACTGAGTATCAAATTATCGATCTTCAAAAAGCAATGCTCTCCGAAGTTCCGGTATACATGTAGGAGGAGGTTGACGGGCTGCAACTCATCAGCCAAGCATGTCCCACACGTGCTCTACTGGATTCAAGTCCGGTGAGAATGCTGGCCAGTCCATACGGGTGATATCCTCCGATTGAAGGCATTCGCTTACGATGTTTGCACGGTGAGGACGGGCGTTGTCCTCCATAAAACAAATTGTGCGCCCATGGCGCCCCGAAACAAACTGTACATGTTGTTCCAGAATGACGTCCCGATAGATTTGGCTTGTCATGGTTCCAATTTGAACATGCAGGTCAGTTCTGGAACCCAGAATAATTCCACCCCAAACGAGCACTCCTGCACCACCGTAACGGTGTCGTTCAATGATGTTTTCTTGGTGGTAACGGGTACCTGGAGCTCTCCATATGAAAAGTCCGGCGAGAATCAGACTGCAAGCTAAACCTGGACTCGTCGGAAAACATCACACAAGCCCACTGTTGCGGTGTCCACAATGCATGCTCTCTACTCCAGGCTAACCGCAGGCGACAGTGAGTTGCAGTAAGTGGAACGCATCTGACAGGTCTACGAGCATATAGACCAATCTGCCCTAAGCGTCTGTACACGGTCTGCCTTGAAATTGTCGTACCAGTGGCTGAAGAGAGCTGACGAGACAGGTCTGAGGCTGTGCTCCGCCTGTTTTTTTTTTGGCAGTAACTGCCAAATACCGGTCCTCATTCGGCGTTGTAACTCTGGGGCGACCTGTGCTGTAACGTCTACTCACATTACCATCATCTTGGAATCGTTGCCAAAGCCTGGAGATGACACTCTGGGCAATTCCAAGTTTCGTCTGATACTTCCAGTTGGGGTACGCCCACATTCCAGACGGCCGATAATTCTACCACGTAAAAAAATCATCCAAATGCGTCCTTTTTGTGTCATAATCTATTCGGTTATTGCACTGAAATGCTTATAAAGCGCCTGCGAACAATTTTACTCCTTTGCCTGCATTCCTTATATATCACTCTCTTACACTCTCGTCATTGTTACGTACCATCGGTGTCATCTGGTTACTTCCTGAAATTTGCATATGTTTCTTGAAGATGTGTGTAGTGATTTCACAGGTGATATATTTATTTTAGAGTTCGATTTCCGCATGACTCCGAATTATCCTTAATTTATGGACATGAGTGTATTTCTTGATACAAATTACCTATATATTATATAGGAACTGCTATTTGTGAGGTCAGCCAGTTAAAATCCTCACAAACACGTTTATATTAACTAAGTAATATATTAGAGTAAAACTTTTGAATCCATTGTTCATAAGAACACATTTCTCATTTTATAAACCTTGTAGAAGCTTATAATATATAATATACGTATTTAGATATTTTTAAATAATAAATGAAGCCTTTTAAAAAACAAATTATATACCTCTTGCTACTCCATATGCCGAACCAATATCCAAACCACCTTCCCCTAAAATCAAAATATTATTGATTATTTTTTCTGCGAGATCTTATTTAAGTCATTTGTTTTGTATTCTCACTAAAAGCACTTTCAGTAATATCCATTGTATGGAGACATTTCACAAATCTAAACGTTTTAAAATTATTGCATAAGGGTAAATAAAACTGATTTTGATACTTTTTAAAGGCAAAACCTCTGGTTCTGAGAAACCGAAGTCCACTCATGTGCGAAATTGTCTTTACATGTATGAAATTACGGATTTCTCAGAATCTATGAGCTATAACGTTACAAAATTTGTGGAAGGATACGTAATATCGTAACACATAAATACAAAAGAAAATATTTACGAGTACTACATATGATATAAAACCGTAGTATTAAACAATCGAAATGGTAATAAGATGTTACAGAGAGAGTTCAAGAAATAAATGAAGAAATAAAAAATATTAAGTTTATGAATTTAATATGAAATCAGATCTCTCCTTACTTGTACATGTATATCATAACGCCTTCCCATGCAAGAAAACAGTTTCGGGAATTACGTTCCACTTCTCTAGCAATTCAGTCTTCAGGGTCTCTAGGAGGAGGATGTTTCCGTACAACTGCTTTCTCAGTGCAGTGTCAGAAAATCTCTATCGGGTTACAATCAAGAGATTTCTCTGCCCGAGGTATTCTCTCTATGTCTTTATTGTTAAGAAATTCATTAACAAGGTTTGGTCGATATGGACAAGCATTAGAGTCTATAAATAAAATATCAGATCCATGTACTTTTGAAAGTTCTGAAATGAAATTCTAAGACATCATTTCGATATTTTTGGCCAGTCACAGATCAAGTGTTGAAATAGCCCGTTTACCGTTATTGCTTCTGACACCATCAAACTTACACTACAGAATCAGTCACATTCATAATGATGAAATAAAGGTTTCGCATTCATGACTCCAGTCAGATATAAACACGTTTAGTATCCGTATTAAACTAAGCCTAGGCTCATGAGTAAAGAGAATATGGAATCATTAGTGTTAATTGCAGTTCTGATGTTCTTTGTACCAATTAAAGAGACCTCTCTTTTGTTGTGAAAATAGTGAAACACATGCCTTATGGCATAAAGGTCGTTTTCACTAAGCCTCCTCCATACAGTTTACCAAAATACAACACTTTCAGCAGCTGTTGCGGGTTCTGAACCTAACTGCCTACAGCAGATTTCCTCTTACGATGTGCAGTTAGTGCCTGATATCGATTTGGAAAAGCATTTGCTATTCGTTAACGATTTTGTCCAGGCCTTCGTACACCATTCCCCGTGGCGTAGAGACTGTCTATATCGAAATATTCACACATATCACTGCTTCATTGATTGTCTAACCACCTTCTAAACGACCTATGATTCGCTACTTCAGAAATTCTTCAAAGACATACGTTGGAGCCAGAACAAACCGTTTCGATTTCTTGCACACCAAAATCAAATGTTGTGGTGTTGCAGAAATTCCCTCAGATATTCACTTTGCACAAAGCGCTTGATTCACCATCAGACGGCATAACGTTTTGATTTGCATATCAGGAGCCATATAATCAATTTTGACTGGATCACACGTAATCAGGAATGTCTTTCACACATGTCCAGCATAAACTGATTACATTAACGGAGTAATCCATGGAATGTCATTATTTATGTGTATGTGAAGATACATTTGGTATACTTACCGACAATGGGAAATTCTCACATAAGTGATGACACAGTAATTAATAACACATAATATCCTAAACTTGGCAATTCTATTTGAAAGATATTTGTTCGCTTTCTAAGCCATCCAGTAATCATTAGCCGGTGACTTGAAATTATGGACCCGAATAAAAGGACATTCAAATATGTAGTGATCGTGTTTACTCATTTAATCATATATTACAGTTACAGAATCTCTAGAAAGATAGATGTTAAAAAGAGATTTCTTCACTATGCAAGTCATCGGAATGTTTCTCTTAAAATTGGAATTAGTTTCGGTTAAACTTACATTCATATATGTATATATATATACATATGCATAACTTATTGGAAATTATACGATAAATGTAATACATAATTGAAGAGAATATAGATACCTCTACCTGCTTCAGCAACAATATAACAATCTTTACGTGACAAAATATATTAACAAATTATTCCTACGCAAACACCTTGCGACCATGAATAACATTCAGATATAAATTTCATAAACTTCAAGCATAAAAATTTATAATATGTGGTTTGTAATTTAATGCACTTATGTCCAAAAGCTAAAACACAAAGTGGCTGAAAAGAGTAGTGGTTATCTGAATTCATCAAAACTACCTCAGACCATAATGTATAGCAAAATACATTAGTGGGATCAAATGCAAGGTCATGGCCAATAATTAAGTAAATAATATTCGATGCATGAGTAATATGAGGTTTCGGTAATAAAAATGTTTTTTGGCTAAAGATTTTACTGGAAATACATGCTTTCCTGCTGTGATCTATGCTAAAAAATCACTTTAGACAGTTTAGGACATTTGAGTTCGTTCAAAAAGTGGACTTGTTCCTAGGTTTCGGGAATACTCTTAAAAATTTTATGTATCCCAAGCTAATTCCATATAACTCGGTGGAAGCCACATTGGAGAGTTTTCCATAGCAAATATATATGAAATAATGTTTCCGCTTTAAATCACATAAAAACATTGCAGTTTTAATACCTGAATTAATACCATCCTTAAAAAGGATATTCTGACCCATTTTCCCAAGAAATAGTTAAATATATTTAGCAGGATATGATCTCTGCAATGCATCGCAATCACATTATAAGGATGGAAGATGTAAAGATTACTGCTAGCACCGAAAGCTGTCTTTGCCCCATATGCCACTTTATATGCGTTTTCTTCGCGGGTGTGTATTGACTGATAGCAGTTCCAGACGTTTTTCAGACCAATAACTGTCGGGAATAACACTATGTTTCATCCTTAAAGAGCAAACTACCCCATTGATATGCAATATATTTGAGGTGATTTTGACATAAATTTCTGTGGATTCTAAGTGTAATGGGGTCAGCAGAAAGCAAATCACTAAATGTCAAGTATACACCCTATCTGTGTATTAAAAATGTGTAAATAGTTTGCGGAAATAAAACTCTTCTTATCACTATTGTAAAGTCAGAAACAAACTAATGTGAAATAATAGATGTGCGGTGTCCCATGTGCAGACACCTAAAGCTGTCATCCTGAGTTTGTGTGACGTTTGGGTGTCCAATTAATCGATTTCGTTGCGCAGATTCGTCAATCCGCTAACGGTTCCCCAGGTAGCAAATGAAGGTATAATCAGAGAGTTCGGTCTTCCTCCTACTAGATGATAGCCATCAATTCGCTGCTGTCAGCTAACATTATCTGTTCATTTTTCAAAATATGGTTATTTTGATTTGCTATCTGAAATTTGAAGACTTGCAACAAATCCTTAGTTCGTATATCTATCAAGCTTCCATTTAAAAATTGTTGGTATGCAAAATTTTTCTGCAAGTTAGTTTTTGTCTACGTATAACTGTAGTTTACGCAAATCTTGGGGCTACATGTTGTTTTATCGCCGAATATGCTAATTTTTTAATTGTTATTTAACTGTTGAATGCTAATATACTGTTATTTATGTTAAATGCGACGTAAACGAAGATTTAAAATTTTAGAAATATTATCGTTCAACAATGAAAGATGGGCATAATTTTGAAAGAAAATACTTGATCTTTTCGCATACCCACTCAACAGTTTTTTGGGTTTAAAAGTAAAATTACGCAATAATTCATATTTTATATTCATTTGAAATATCTGCTTTCGTATTCCAGGTTTACCTGCTCTATAGAAATCACTTAAAATTTATTAGCAAATTTCAGATATTTATTTAGTGATCAAAAATCTGCATATTTCAAACATAAATTTGTATCTCATTGAAATTCCGATTATATTAGCTCAGTTGATCCATGTATACATAAAATCAAATTGTTTTAGAGCAAATTTATTAAGTTTTTAATTCCAATCATGTCTAACAGACGCCGGTTTTGAAGTCTATATGGCGGTAGAAATTATTATCAATAGATACAATATTTAACCGTAAGCATGGTGCATCTAAGTGTAAAAACTGTTAAATTATATTAGTTTAGTGTACATTTTCATAAATAAAATAAAGACAGTAAGGGACTGTGTTTATAGTTTTTATAAAAACAGAAACCTTACTAGTTTTTAACTTTCATTCACTTTCGCTCTCGTAAGTCACTTAAGTCGCTACAAATCGTATAAATATAGTACGACGCCAATAATACTTTATTTGTTCAACCTATTACATGACTTTAACTACAGACAATGTGTTACGAATGTTATTATATTAATAAGAAGTACTTTATTATTTCAATGACATTTTCAGCTATATTTAACATACTTGCATTATATTGATCTTAATGCGAACTCATGACTTCTGCGAAATTTTACAGGCTAGTGTGATAGACATTACCGAAAGTTTATAGCGGCGAAGCATCCCTTTTGCGATCAAGTTGGTTACCTAGAGAGACAGTTTTGGTGACAAACGTGATCTAAAAAATCTCAGTACGCCGAGCATTTCATGCATTTATGAAAAATTACAGTGAAATATCTGCATATTTAAGCACAATATGAGATGCATGCATCGTTACGGGTGTAAATGTCCCCTCGAAAGTAAACTGGAAGGAAAGTTTCACCTTTTAAGTTCCGCATTCGTCATCAAAATATATTTTAAGAAATGTCAAAACGAATAATGCGATTGAAAATCAATAAATTCATGACGGTAAATTTCTATTAATCCTTAAACACTACACAAGTATAACACATTTAGAATTTTAATTATAAAAACAATCGGAAAATTAACTACAACTAAATTATAATTATTAATTCCATTCTCTAACTTGTCACTTCTGAAATGGTAGGTTATATTTAAAAACGCAACATGACCACAATTAACATAGTGATTACAAAACCCATTTGTGTCCCTTTCAGATTTTCTGAGGATTAGCAAGTTAAATCTGGTATATCGTACTTGGTCAATCAATAACTGTTATCAGTCATCTTATCAATATCAGTAACGATGTTTAACTGAAAAATCAGGTAATCTGAAGAACTAAATAAATCGTTTAAGATCATTAATAGTTCAATTTTCTGAAAAGATTACCGTCTATCAATTTATTAACTAGCGTATGACTGCCGTTTCATACAACCAAATAAGCTACCAGGGTCATGCTTTTCGTTCTGAGCTCATAATAGAGTATATTCATTTCTTCACACAGTAATCCTAGCAATGAGTTTCAGTTGGATGTGTGACATCATTCTATAGGAAAGGATGATCATCCTATAGGATCAAACATCATCCTATAGGATCAAACATCACCCTATAGGATGTTTGACATCATCCTATAAAATAGTTTCCTATAGGAAAGAAAAATAACCGAAAGTTGTTTCGGGATCTTCTGAAAGTGGAAAGCCACAAGGTACTGGGCACTCCGAAATTAACGTTATTAAAAGTCTAGATCGAAAGTATTAAGTGCATTTACTTGAATATCATATTATTATATTTTAAAAGAAAACTATATTTTTGTGAGCAATTACACTACAATATTGAGAGTATGCTTAGGTTTCTTTTCATTATTAGAGCTAATATTATGCCTTTTACTATAATTACTGGAAATTCTAGCAAGTAGGTTTGTGTCAAAGAGGAGTAAGTAATGAAACGAAACTCAAACAATTACAGAATTTTGAGGAAGGTACACATTCAAACTATAGTTCATTATATTAAAGCTTTTACGCCTGTTTCCTAAAAGTTACAACTGGTCTTACACAGGCATACAGATTTTCACACTAAAACTTTTAATATTGAATATATGATAAATCAAATACATTTGTGAACAGAATGTACATACCTATGGCTGCTGCGTTGTTCCAGAATATCATCATAACCCATTTGTCCTAAAGGAAAGCATTCTCAAATTATTCCCTGCAGGCATCTACATTTTCATTTTCGCACAAGTATAAATAACATATATTCGGAAACTTCATTAAATGGCTGCATTTGATGAAGTGTGTGCTACGTATGTGCAACCATGTCCGCAAATTAAAAAAGAAATTGAATGAAAAGAAGTTACAACATAGTTTATATAAATTCATCGAAATATACACAATCAATTAACGTAAGCACGAAATGCCGCAGAAAGTAAACGTTCAGTAGATCATTCATTACGTTAAAATTTTAGGTTCCATTTACTTAAAATTACATTTGGTTTCAAGTAGTCTTACATGTACAGTACTTTTTATTTCTAAATATACTTGATGAATGAAAGTAATTCTTAAACAGAACATACGTACCTCTGCCTATTGCAAAAACCGAAACAGCCACAGCAACCAACATTTATATTTTCGTTTTTGTACTAGTATAAATAACATACAGTCGAAATCAAATTCAGGCATTAAAACCAAACACGCGACGTGCTACTCACATGATGTTCGGACTTTAAAAACGGAAGTGAAAAAGGAGGATGAAAAGAACAATACTTCTCCGAGTTCAACGAAATTTGCACAGATTACGAATTATAACACAATTTCGAAATGCTAAAGAAAATGCACGTCAAAAGCATTTTCATTACATCAAATTATTTAGGTCTGTTTCTGTAAAATTACAAATGCTTCTAGTGACCTAATATAACATACACTTAGGAAGTTTTGTGTTATAATATTTTTTATAATTGCGCATTATATATTAAATAAATTGTTGAACCGAATATACACTGGTTATCATAAATTAAGGAAAAATCACGATTACTGAAAAGGTTACATGTAGAATTTTATGAAGCTAACCCACAATATACAGCACATAGTAAGGTATCAAATAACATAAAAATAAATTACAGACAATTATGGTAGTATAGAAATTAGCACATGTATAAAATTAACAAATCGAAGGCTTCAATTTGCTATAGGAAGAGTACCTTCAATATGGAATATGGTCGCCTCTAGAAGCAATACAGCACATACAGCGATGCTTGATGCTTTCAATTATGCGGTCTATCAGTTTCATAGGAAGCGAAAGTCATTGCTCTTGCAAAGCAGTTGCAAGCGCGGCAAGGGTCTGAAGGGGCGGACTGAGAACAGTTAGACGTCTCTCTAAGGCACCCCAAACGTGCTCGATAGGATTCAAGTCCGGGGATCGAGCTGGCCACTCCATGCGCATAAGGGTTTCCTGTTGAAGATACTCATTTACGATGCGAGCCCTGTGTGATCTTGCGTTATCGTCCTGTAACAGGAAAGCATCACCTATTGCCCCGGGACATGGGAGCACATAAGCATCAAGGATGTCATCTCTATAAACCGGAGCATTCACGGTTGGAAAGACATGGAGGTCTGTGCATCAACCCAAAGAGACTCCACCCCAAACACTGACACTGCCTCTTCCGTATGCATCACTTTAACGGATATTTGACGGATGATAACGAGTTCCAGGTTCTCTCCATATCAAATAACGCATACTATCGCTTTCTAGACTAAACCTGAACTCATCCGTAAAGAGAACAGCCCCCCCCACTAATGAAGCATCCAGTGGACATGTTGTCGTGCCTACTGCAAACGCTCCCTCCTATAAAGTGACGTGAGCGGCACGCAAATGGCTGGTTGTCTCGCATACAGACCACCTTCGTGAAGCCTCCTACGCACAGTTGACGTTGACACCAACCTTCCGGTGGCTGCAGCAAGGGAGGATCTAAGAAGAGTCGGCGTAGAGGTTCTATTCTTGCGTGCACATAATGTCAAATATAGGTCATCTGCGCTTGTCGTAGCAGTTAGCCGTCCTTGACTGAACTTCCTACAGGCCAAATCTGTGGTTTGAAATCGCCTCCAAAGTCTATGAACCACAGAAGGACTCACATTTAGCCACTTCTGCTTGACTTTATCCTGCCTCTAGTCTCCCACTGGCTCTCCATCGAAGTTCTGCAGGCAAATGATTTCTGGAGGTCATTATTACGAATTGGCTATCTCAGATTTCTGATGTCACTATGACAGTGAAATATGTGGGCTTGTACTCAAGCATGGGCTTTTATTTTCCTTGCAGATGACGTATTCCGAGTGCAGCGCCACTAATTTGTATATTGCAGTTTTATTCAGCTACTCTTACTTGGCAACATATTCAAATTTTACACTGTTTGGTTTATTTTTGAGGAGTATCCTATTTTTGTGATTTTTCCTTAATTTATGATAACCAGTGTATGTACCTGTGCCTGCTACATTTCGAGGAAGATCGCTGTAACCAACCTGACCTAGAGAAATATATCCTCTGATTATTCCCATTGAAGAATCTACATTTTTATTTTTGTACGAGCTTGAAAAACATTCTATCGGAATCCTTATTAAATTAAAAACTTAAAATTACACTCGTGATACGTTAATACTCATATCTAGAAGTGAGATAAGTCGCATCAGTGTTTAGCAGAATTCATCGCAGTTTCCAAGGATTATATATTATTAACGAAATTTGGGAATGGTGAAGATAGATGTCAAGTAGTAGATTATTCATTACACTAAATCACGTTTTTAAACTTGTGCCTTAGATACAAAAGTATATAAACTTTTGAGCAATAATTTATTCTAAATGCGTATGAGAAATGCATTACATATTTGAACAGGTCATACACACCAGTGTCTACTCCATACTCAGCATCAGCACCATAATCATCTTGACCTGAATAAATATGATCATAAATTATTCTCAAGCAAACTCTTATATTTTTAATTTCATACGAACATGAACAACATACAGAAAAAGCTTCACACTATTCACACATGAAATATTCAATCACATTCTTACATACCCTCACGTCCTTAAAGTAAACAAGGTGGATGGAAGTGGAAGGAGTAGTGCTTATTCGAATCCATTGAACATTTCCAAATTTTGGTTTATAAAAATAAATTAGCTGGGGTAAATGCAAAGGAAATGGTCAAAGTGTAATTATATACACTCATGTCCATAAATTAATGATAATGCAAAATCAGTCAAAGGAAGAGTTAGAAGCAAAAAAAATTTGACTTATTTGTAAAGCTTATTTATTAAACAAAAGGTAAAGAGCAAAAAAAGATACTATATGTTTGATATTATTAAAAAAATTAGCGATTTTTTCTCCCTGGATCAAATTACAAAAAAAACAATTTTACATGGTTGGTATGATTGTTAATACATTGCATGTCTCCCAGACGATGCAATACAGTCCCTACAACGCCTAGGCATGCTGGGTATCAAATTATCGATCTGATCTTGGGGGATATTACACCAATCAAAAAGCAATGCTCCCCGAAGTTCCGGTAGACATGTAGGAGGGGGTTGACGGGCTGCAATTCGTCGGCCAAGCATGTCCCACATGTGTTCTACTGGATTCATGTCCGGTGAGAATGCTGGCCAGTCCATATGGGTGATATCCTCCGACTGAAGGCATTCGTTTACGATGTTTGCACGGTGAGTACGGGCGTTGCATCCATAAATACAAATTGTGCGCCCATGGCGCCCCGAAACAAACGTACATGTTGTTCCAGAATGACATCCCGATAGATTTGGCTTGTCATGGTTCCAATTTGAACATGCAGGACAGTTCTGGAACCCAGAATAATTCCACCCCAAACGAGCACTCCTGCGCCACCATAACGGTGTCGTTCAATCATGTTTTCTTGGTGGTAACGGGTAGCTGAAGCTCTCCAAATGAAAGTCCGGCGAGAATCAGACTGCAAGCTAAACTTGGACTCGCCGAAAATATCACAGAAGCCCACTGCTGCGGTGTCCACAATGCATGCTCTCTACTTCAAGCTAACCGCAGGCGACAATGGGTTGCAGTAAGTGGAAAGCGTCAGACAAGTCTACGAGCTTATAGACCAATCTGCCTCAAGCGTCTGTACACGATCTGCCTTGAAATTGTCGTACCAGTAGCTGAAGAGAGCTGACGTCGTCTGATACTTCCAGTTAGGTACGCCCACATTCCAGACGGCCGATAATTCTATCATGTAAAAAATCATCCAAATGCGTCCTTTGTGTCATAACTATTCGGTTATTGCACTGAAATGCTTATAAAGCGCCTGCGAACAATTTTAGTTCTTTGCCTGTATTCCTTATATATCACTCTCTTACACTCTCGTCATTGTGACGTACCATCGGTGTCACTTCCTGAAATATGCATATGATTCTTGAAGATGTGTGCAGTGATTTTACAGGTGATATATTTATTTATTTTATCACCTGTAAAATCACTGCACACATCTTCGATTTCCGGTGACTCCGAATTATCCTTAATTTATGGACATGAGTGTAATTGCGGGGTAAAACACGTAGATGTTTTTGGTAACAGGAGGGGATTTTGGTCGATGTTTTCCCGAAACACCTATCCATGTTCAATCCTGTGCCGCCGATGAAGCACAAAAGTCAGCTAATTTCAATATACGGCCTATAAGAAAATTTTCGCTTTACGTTCGCTGCAAAAAGGTTTTTGGAAAGTTGTCCATATATGATAAATACAGAAAAAACATACAAATAAAATTCAAGAGCAAAATAAGAGGGTTCGGTGCTATGCGATGGCAGCAAAGCCTTGAGAGCTAGCTGCCTAAGGGGATGGATACCCTTAGACAGCTAGCTTTCTAAGGGAAACTGTCTCGTATATAATTTACGCATTGCATACACAGTATATGTTAGACATGGGAAAAACACGAAAACGCCTTTGCAGCCAGCTCGTTCAAGGAATTTGAACCTCGGACAGAACTAACAGTGTTCTGTGACTTTACCGCTCGGCCCCAGCTGGGCTAGCAAAAAAAAATAAGAATAAAAGGCTAAAATCCTGCCAAAAACCGTCTCATGAGTCTCGAGCCTCCGGAATAGTGTTTAACCGGAAAAATCTCTTTTAGAGACACACAAATAAGATGAAAATCGCCAACCATGAAGTGAGAACTACCGAGATGCTATTCTGGGCTGTCGGTAATTCCGATCGGGAAGTAAATCACTCAGCCCCTACAGTATTCGCAACGCAGCTACTGCAATGTCTCAGGTATTCTTGTCAATCTTTAAATCCAGACATTCAAACCAGACTTTATTTTTAAATTAATGTAGTGATAAAATTTAATGTGGTGACAACATTCAATCTCGAGTTCTATGATCTTAAACGCTGCTTTAAATGATGTTCTTTAGTAAATACATTATGTTACTTTGATAGCTTCTTCCAAATTCGTCGCTTCATTACAAGATATGCTACAGTGAGATTATATACATTCTCAGTTGGTAATCAGATAACTGTTTTAGTTATAATCGCATTTCTTGGAACTTTAGGTAAGATATTGGTTTATCGTGATTGACTACAGCTGTAAAATGGATCAGGAATCTCAAATAACAACAAAACTCTGGAAATCTGAGAGTGTATCGTTTAGAGTCGTAAGTATTGACCGAACGGAGCATTTGTCTTGCTTCGAAATTCAAGTGGATAATGGAATAAATAATGGAAAAAAGTGAAAAAACAAGAGAGCTAAAATACCAGTAGCTGCTCTAACCTCGTTACAAAGCCCACAGTGATCTGCGTAAGTATGAGATATTTATTTTTTATATAAATTCATTTAATCTCTTTCATCGCTTCTAACTTTTTGAACTGTAATCAAATTTCAAAATAGGCTCAAAATGATCCGGTAATAAATCAATGCCTCAAATATAATATAATCGAAAGATCATATGGTTGCTATAAAAGAAATACATAAAAAATTAGTTCATATTTCAATTTTTCCTTCGCACAAGGTTTCATTAAACATTGCTGAATGGCTGGCAATTTATCATAAGACCCATAGGCATATGAGGAAGTCAAAGAAATTTCTTAATAAACTTGGAATTTGGAAATACAGATTTTGTAAGTCAAATAGCTTGTTCAGTGCAATGTATCAGAGCTTCTGCTGGGGTTATTTTCACAGTGTCTGTAACAATCCAGACAGCATGATTTTGATGAGACAGATGAAGTTTCAGCTAGCTTTTGAATACTCGGAAGACGTTATTAAAGAAACATACGGTCGCATAGCAGAAATTATGGTACAAATTTGTAGAGGTTGTAATGTCCAAAAGAAATAACTATTGTATTTCATACACAGTGCAAAGATAACACCCAACTTAAGCTGATCGTAATATTTTGATGACACTATCTAAAAATTCTAATTCGACACAAGTATAAAATCAGATAAAATCTCATGAAATGTGACTTCAATTAAAAAAAAACTAAACTAAATATAAATATATAAAAATCATTATATATTCTAACTATATAATATTGTTGGGTGCGTACGGGTTCTTTATGAATTAAATGCACAAGTCCGATGTAAAGTGAATAAAAATTTATTATTATAACAACAAATAAAAAAATGCTTAAATTTCCACAGATATGCGTACAATATTACGATATCTCACAGTAGTTATCTTTTAAACTACTCAAACATTCAGCAGAACTGAATTCATTACATAGAAAGCTAATGCGATTTCACCGCAAATTCAGAACAGCAGTTTTCTAAACACAACTCATAAAAGATACAAGTTAAAGATATTTGCTTGCCTGAACCAATTAATTATCCAAAGTTTAGGATGCAGTTTAAAAATGCATGTTATAGATGTAACTTGGGTTATAATTTCATTTCAATCCTGGATTACAACAGGTGTTCTGGGTAGCATATTTGCCACTGCACAACAGCAGTAATATTGTAATTAGTGACAGCGTTTAGAATTATTCCTGAAAGTAAATTTAGGAAAGAAATTCGCGCCTTTAGATTTCGGCTAACAACGTGCGTTGTTTTCTGTACTTGTGTGTGTGTGTTATAGATTGTCGAATGGAAGTTCCAAAACAGGTACCGTTATAAAAGACTTTATATGAGTAGTCAAGAGACTTTCTTCTCTACACAAGAAAGATCTAATTTTGCTTCAACGAACAGTTCGCGTGGTGAGGCTCCTTCAGAAAGTGACAGCGTGTCAGAAGAGAACACTGAAGGAAATGCGATCTAGTGATGCAGAGCAGAGTTCTTCCTCGAGAGATACCTGTACCCATGTGCGTACCAGTAAAGTCATCGAAAGCATCTTCAAATTGGTAAGGACTATTTTTGTGATTTTAGAGAAGTTATGCTAGTTGTTCGAGACGAGTTGAATTTTGGGTATAGCTTTGTTATCAGGGATTAAAAGTTTTCTTATGGTTAAACTTTCGTTAACTGAAATTAGACTGTTTCTTTTACTGTTCTAATACAAATTTAACTTGCTAAAAGTATTACAACAGTATGCTTTGGGAAAAATTTAATTTTTTAAATCAGTCCAGTGCTATAGGTCAATATTTTAATAGCTTCCATAGTTTAGTAAAAATTTGCATGTTAATTAGCATTTTTGATTTATGCTTTGTATGCAATACATGTTAAATGTTTTAGATATGATTATGTATTTTGAAGCAATAAGTGTTCAGAATTATTAGGGAGTTATACAGATTTGGAGAAATATACCTGTATTTATATTTTGGAGTAAACAATTTTTTAAACTCCATTTTTTTTCATAATAGAAGCGTTTATGAGGAAATTTATTGAAACTCTTCCATTAGAATTAGCCGAAGAGTTTGATAGAAATGTGTCTCAGGCAAATAAAATGAGAGAAATTAGGCAGGTCATTACCTACCTAATTTATGCTATATATTATTCTATACATTATTCTAATTGCCGAGGACTATGATGAGGAAGCGGCAAAAGAATACGCGGCAAGAATTTGGAGTGCGCCTGAGAAGGAAAACTCAGAAAAAATGTCGGAACTAGAGAAAGCAGAAAGTGAGAGAGAAAGGCTTTCGAACTGGAGAAGTTAAGATTGGTGTAAGCGGCTGAGACTAGTAGCTTAGTTTCCATCCTTTCGGCAGTTGGACAACTTAGAGAGTTAATTTAAAAGATCTAGTACCGGATTTTGAACAGAATAATACAGATATTCCGTTATTCGGTATGCTATTTGAGAAACATCCTAAAAACAGAACGTTAATGAGATTAATTGGTTCTTGCAATTAATTCCTTTATTATCTCCTGATGTAACTCAATTAATCGTTAAAGAACCAGCTGATAAAGGGGAGGATTATCAGCATCTTTAGAAATTACTCATGCATAGATTCAAGCTTAGTTCTTTGGCTCTGGAAACAAAATTTAAAGAGCATTCTAGAAAGAACGGTATCCTGTGGGTGAATTTAGTTTATGAACTGAAAGTTTATTTAGGGAATTGGTTGGATTCGCTGGAAGTTTTAGATTCTGAAAGTCTTAAGGATCTTATGCTCAGCGAGCAAATCAGGCGGCGAGTCCCTCTAGAAAATATAGAGCTCTACATAGGCAATTGGCAAAAATTTAAAACCGATTCTAATTTTGCGAAGAAATGCGGCAGGCATGAGGCTTTGCGAAGAGATACGGGGAGGTTGGAGCAGAGAGTGGGGGTTAAGAAATCTTTTGCAAACGCTGCAGTGGCTACAATTTCCAATGGTAATGAGAATCAGAAAAGTAATGATCCTTAAAGAATTAACTTGAAGGAGTATATAAAATGCGAGGTTTTTAAAAAGAGCAGGCCTTCAAGGAAACATGTTTCGAAAAACAGCGGTGAAAAGGTATTATCAATGTGGGAAGGATAGACAAGTCCGACCTAACTTTCCATGACTGGAAAAAGATAAGGCTAATTTTGTGAATAATTTCGGGACGGAAGTGTTTTGAGCCGTACTTCAGGAAAGCAGCAATTAATGGGACAGAGAGAGAGAGTATCAAATATAGTGGGGCTGAAATAGCTCTATATAATAGTACTTGGATTAATTCTAATTAGGGGAAACTGTGTAGGTGAAACATCATTTGGACAGAGAATGTAAATGTTTACATTTGGCTAAAGTCACTATTGAAGCTAATTTTGGTGTGGCCATCGCAAAGGCAGCCGTTACTTCGGTGGATTTAGATATGAGTATTATATGTTATAGAATAAAACCGCGCAGTTGATAGAGGAAATTAGGGAATGACCGGTTCTCTTGAATGTTCTCGAGACTCGTAGTCAGCCGTAACACACAGAAATTTAGAGAGAATGGGCGCAGACAGGGTTACGCGTAGCGACGAAGCAGGTTTACATTCCACATCGGAAGATGAGGAGGAGACAGAAAAGAAAGGTGTTGTGAATAATGAGATTTCGGAAATAGGAAAGTTAACAAATAATGCAGAGAAATGCATTGAAATTAAAGTCATTATTTCAGAAGCAAGGTCTAATCTTGCAGATATTTCGAAAGCAGAATTCGCGGAAGCACAAAGGACATGCACCAGTTTAGCGGCCCTGTGAAAGAAGGAGAAAACGAAAGAGAAAAAGAGTTTAAAATTGTAAAGGGGGGGGCTAGTCAGAGTGGCAAGTTCTAAGAAAGGGAGACATAAGCTTCAGCTCTATGTGCCTCTTGTTGATAGTAAAGGGGGCTTTGAAGTTATGCCACGACTAAATCGCTGGTCATTTAGGGGTAAGAAAAACCAAAGATAGAATTTCACACACTATTTCTGGCCTATTTGGTACCAAGAAATTAAAGAATTTGTGAGAACGTGTGATATTTGTCAGCGTCTATAAAAGGCTAACTAGGTATAAAAAGAAAGCTCCAATGAAGATTGTGACTGTTATATCAAAAGTTTATAGTACACTGGTGTGCAAAAATTAAGGACGAAGTCGAAAAATTAGCATATCATCTGAACGAAGAGGCAGAGCGGACAGAAAGACCAATCAGGAGATTAAGTAAGGTGATGCATGGTAGCACATGCGCAGATATGCAGGTAGACGTAATGGGGGAGTGTCTGAGTAGTATAAAGCATGTTGTCGGTGTAAGATCAGTATTTCTGTCAAAGAGATTGCACGCCGTATAGCAGTTAAAATCACACCGAATTGCTGCCTCAGCGAGAAATGGCGAATAATCAATCTGTTAGACGACATCTGGATGCTTTAACACGAGGTCGAATCATTGGGAAGTTGGAGGAAGGCCGCAGTCTCACAAGTGTGGCTGCAGAGTGCGGAATTGCTCACAGCATCGTTTCACGACTTTGGAGACAATTTAAAACTACAGGAACAGCTATCCGGGGGTTTAGTAGTGGTCGTCCACGAGGAACCACACCCGCAGATGACCGGTATATTGCCTTACAGGCCAGAAGAAACAGGCGGCAGACAGCGGGAGAAATCGCTAGACATATGACACAGGCGACTGGACGACCGATATCGCGTTTTACCGCGGCCAGAAGACTGCACGGTGGTGGTCTGTTTGCACGACGCCCTGTACGGTGTGTACCTCTAACGACTGCCCATCGGAGAAAGCGTTCTCTGTGGTGCCGGGAACACCGGAATTGGAGAGACAATGAATGGGGACGAGTACTCTTTACAGATGAGAGCAGATTCAGTCTTAGTAGCGATTCTCATCGCATACTCATCTGGAGAGAGCGGGGAAGCCGCAATCATCCCTCAAACATCATTGAAAGGGACAGGTATGGAGGTGGCGGTGTTCTCGTTTGGGGAAGCATCATGCTTGGTAGTCGTACAGACCTTCACATCTTCGACGCAGGTTCAGTCAACGGGACCCGTTATTGTAACGAGATTCTTCTTTCATATGTGCGTCTTTTTAGAGGCGCTATGGGTCTGCAGTTCCTTCTCATGGACGACAATGCACCATGTCATCGCACAGTAGCTGCCGAACAGCTCTTAGAGAGTGAGGATATTGAACGTATGGATTGGCCGGCACGATCTCCGGATCTCAATCCCATCGAGCATGTATGGGATTTTCTAGGGAGACGCTTGGCAGCTCGTACCTTACCACCAGTAACGATTCCGGAGCTTCGATTGGCGCTGCAAGACGAATGGGCAGCAATGCCTCAACAACTCATTGACACCCTCATTCTCAGCACGGGCAGACGCTGTGAAACCTGCCTAACAGTCAGGGGAGATCATATCCCCTATTAAAGACCGGATGTTTCTTGCTGGACACCCATCACAGGGATGTTTCGGCATTCAGTCGCATTGCGCTCCATGCTACTTTTTCAATAAAGCTTCTTTTTATCCCTCTGATTTCTCTTTTAGTAAGTGTTGCTTACATTACTCATGTCCTTACGTATTGGGGATCTTACGGTATTAAATTTGTTGATTTGGAAAGCTTTTGTACAAAGTTATATTGAAAAAACCGTCTCGTCCTTAACTTTTGCACACCAGTGTAGATTAAATATTGACACTGTAGTACTTCTGATCCCTAGTTCACGTGAAATATATCGGTATATTTGTTACCTTTGGGGAAAACAGCAGTATAAGGTATGTTCTCTCTCCTTTCCGCATGCCTCCGTAGTGTAAGTGGAAGCATACTCAAAACATATTCGGAAAGTACAGGATTCTAGTCTTGGCGAGGGCAATTCCTATTTTTAAATGTCTCCTGCTTCAAAAAATTTAATGATTCTACGAGTGGCGCCCGAACTGAAAGGTTATGGGTGATAATTAGTCATCACCAGGATTTTATTGTTGGATCCCCTAATCCCCAGTAGCTCTTTAAAAGTTCGAGTGTATAAGGTTGTTTCTCCCTCCTTTCCGCATTGCCTTCGTGGCGTAATTGGAAGCATTCGGCACTGCACATTTTTCTCGTCTCCAGCTTCAGAAACCTAATGAATCTTCAGCAGCAACATTTTCACCTATTGTATTCGCTATATCTTCAATGGGGCTAATACCTCAGCCATCTTTCTCCAGGAAGGAAAGCCTTATACACGCCTTCTTTACTCATGGTTGGTGTAGGGAATATTATTCCAGACACGCAAGCTTCCCACGAATCCCTCTGACTTAGTCGCCTTAATTTTCTAGCTTTTGCTTTCGCTTTTTTTGAAAGCTATCAAGTTTGAGAAAGTGAGCTATCAGCTAAAGTGTCTTCAAGTTGATCTCTACTTTCTCAGATTTCCCTGAGGTTCACGGGTCTACAATGATTTTGGTATTTTTCAAGCCAGCTTGATAGCCTATGTGCAGTAGAGATTTCAGCTGCCTGAAGACTATAATCAGTAGCTGTCCGAAGTGCTTCCTATAATAAGTAGCAGTAGCGGTGTGCAGTACCTCTGAAGCCGTATTTTCACCATTTCATCTGTGATCATTGTATGAACAGAGAACAATTCTTAGTTGACTTGCTCAGACAAAGCTTTCATGAGCGATAATAGTTTCACACAAAAATAGTAAACACCTACTTCTATTTGGAAACAGGAAGTGTTCACCCCAAATATTGCTTCCTGAAATTTATTAAACATTTGTTCGAAAGTTAATAAATATTGAGTTATTATCAAAATACTGCGTTTCCATAAAAAAAACTATACTTGAGCGAGAAACTAAACAATATTACTGAGATTTCCAGGTCTAGCAAATCATTTAGAATTAAAGTGGAATAAAAATGAAACAAAACTGTGAAAGTATTGCAGAATTTTTAACAAGATAATAGGTAGTTCTTTGCACTTAAACTCTTAATCCTGTTTCCTTAAAGTTACAACTGAGTTCTTGTAGCCTTAAATGCACGTGTATATAGAATATTATGCTTAAAACATTACACATGATGAATGAAATAAGCGATACGTACCTGTGCCTGCTACATATCCGGAATCAACACCATAACCAGCTTGACCTGCAGAAAAACATCATCCAATTATTCCCTCGAAAATAACTACAATTTTCTTACCAGTATATATATAATAGCGTCTAAATTTTCGTTAAAACAGTCATTAAAATTCAAACATGTGATATTCTACTTATATACATTCATGCCTAGGAAAAACGGGCAAAATTGAATGAAAAGAGCACTATTTTATCAGAATTCGTCGAAATTTTCAAACGTTATGGATTATAAAAGACGTTGTGGAAGTACATGAAAAGAAAATAAGTAATAAAGCCAATAATTAATTAAGCCAATAACTAATAAGCCAATGAGTAATCAAAACTAGAAAGACGAGTTCTCTGGTTGTAGAGTCAATGAGTCATTTTGATGCTGGCAATGTGAAAAATGTGCAAAGCCCTCGCCGGGACTCGAACCTGGACCTCTCGAGTACGCGCCGAAGTGTGCTACCATTACACGTCGAAGACATGCAGAAAGGAGGGAGAAAATACCTTAGGTTTTCATAGTTTCAGATTTTCTATTTAGTGCTATGTGTTTACTTGTGGCTGCTGAAGTTTAATAGTTTTGTGTGGTATGTATGTTTACAAAATTTTATTTCTGTGAAAAGAGGAATGTGTTATTTATCTGTTTAGTCTAGAGTCGTGATTCTGAGAACGTTATTAAAGCAAACCAAAAATGCTTAAGACAGCCGCCAAAAATTATGTTGTATAAGTACCTACTTCCGCAGCTCTTTATTTTGGGCAATTTTTCACTTGGCGATGAACTTGAAAAGACTTCAGTGACCACATATGAAACGCAGTCAAGTTTCATTTGAGTATTCTTCACAGACGTGCATAAAGGCATCTCGTCGGAGAGAATGAAGACACTGTGCAACCTTTGCATGAATTTTTAGAGGGAAAGGCATCCAAAAGAGAAGAGCTCTACACTGGCCGATAGGTTAAGATCGCTGAGCACTCGGTAGTACCCGCAGGCGAAAAGGCTGGCTTGTTGGTTATTGCAATTTTTCCATGTGTAACATGGATGCCAGCAAGTTTCCCTTAAGAAGTCCTCTATGAAAGCATCGCTGCTTAGACGAATATCCCTTGTAAGCTTTTCTGTTTTCAAGTAATATAAGGAGGAGAAATATTACAGAAATATGAAGATTACATACTACAGAAAACTGAGATATTTTGATAGTTTTTATGAAATTGAAATATATATATATATATATATATATATAATAAAATAAAATTTTCTAAAACTTCCTTAGAGTAAATACTGAAAATGTACCTTCAAAGAGTAAAAGAAGAACAACTGAAAGCAATCTGACATCATAGAATTGATCTCATGCGACATCTCGAAAGTTTGCAAGATATCGAGCGATGTGTGCATATATAGCTTCTCAGCGTTGTGTAACGTGTATACATTTCGCTGTAAATTAATGTAATTTATAATGATTTGTGCATATTAACGGCACATAACTTCACAAATATTGTTTCATGAATTTAGATTAGCTTTTATTTAAAAGTCCCAAAATTACACGAAATATTTTTATGAATATCACCATATATGATCATAAAAAGCATTTTATGTCTGAAATTACATTTTAATATCTGTTGACGAGAAATAATTCTAAATTTGATATACTGAAATACTTTTAAATATAAATATTAGTTAATTACATTACACTGATTTTAGTTTAACTCGTCAAAAGGGCGGCTTGAAAATTAAGACAAAAATTCCCCTCCCTCTTTTTAGTGCTAAATCATTAAGGGGGGAAAAGAAACGAGGTGTTCTTAGTATTAGATCTTTGATGGAGGACTTTTAGTGGAAGCACAAGCTCGGGAGCGTTGGTTCATGAACTATAAGATCACCTATGTTGCTTTTAAGCATAAAACCATATGTTTAAATATGAGACTGCATTGTAGCAGATCACCTATTAAACGCCTGTAAGATAACGTGATTGTAGAAGTTAAAGAGACTAATTTTGAAAATGTTTAAGTCTGTTTTTAAAATTTTAAGAAGCAGTTATTAAAAATGCATACTGTATGACACATCAAGAGGAGCGTGACACTGAAAAAAGTAAAGCAACAGGACGTTTCAAATATTTACATTCATTTTATTTAATTGGCATTAATTATTCAACCTCTTCCTAGATCCATTTTGTATATGTTGCATCTTCTTCCATTCATACCTTTTTGAGACGGTTGATCATATCTCTATATATGAGTATAGAGTATATTTATATTTTTATCTACTAGAACAGAATAGAAGATCACTGATTTATATGTCAAAAATATTTTCTGGTATTTCTTGACAATTCGCTATCTCACCCACCAAATGTAAAACGGAAATCAGTGAATTTAGTGCATTTCCCACTTAATGCTACATCCGTATTACAGCCTTTGGAGCAAGGTTCGTTATAAAAAACTGGTTTTACGGCATGTTCTTTGTCAAATGACTGCGGAAACAGCAATCAGCTTGCAAAATGTGTCAATACATTGACTGCCATTCAGTTCTTGTTTAGGCTGTTATATCCACATCACATAGTTTTGTTCAGCACTGTTTTAAGATAGAAGGATTTCAGAAATTTCTGAATGCTGCTCTTAAAAACACTGCGGATGAAAGGGAATTGTTTGAATTTGTCAAAATCAGTGGTTGTAGTCAAAGGCAAGAATATTTAGAACTTAATGGAAACTTGTGTACTGCTTACACCAAATAACGGACATGAAAATTTTTTATTTGAATTTTGATTGATGATATGCGTTTAATAAAAATAACTTGGAAAGCAATGAGTAAGACGAATAAAAATCAGAGGAAAAGTACAATATAAAAAACTTTTCAAATGCCTCAAATACACCTCCCAATTAAAATAATTCCTGATATATGTTATTCACAATGAAGGAATTCAGATTATAAGTGATTAAAATCCACGAGATAAAAATTACTTGCAAAGCACAGACTTTCAAGGAAACTTGTGATATTCACAGAACTTCATACACAAGTATATATATATATATTTAATCATAATTAATTTTAGTCATAATTAAGAAATATAATGGTGTTTGAATTTGAATTACCTGTTCCAAACTTAGAACCAGCAATTTTTCCATAGAAAGCTTTCCCTAAGTTAAAAAAAATATAAAACAATTACATTCATGTAAGCGTTTATAGACAGGTTCGCAAGTAATATTTTATTCCAATGCAGACAAAATTTGCAGTAGTAAAAACTAGTGTATCAAATATCCTGAAAAACTATTTTAACCAGTTTAATTAAACAAATATTAGCACACATTGATTTTAAAATCCTAATATCTGCCTCAAAAAAATCCATATTTTATTGAAGAATTGAAATATATTCCTGACACTTGAAAATCTAGCAGGAAATTTTGAGTCATTAAAACACAAGTATTAAAACTAAGTTTTACGAACAGTGCAAAGTGTTTAACTAGACATTCAGAAACGAATGTCGTCATGTAGGTAATTCATTAATACAGGCGCGTTAAAACTAAATTATAAGAAAGTTGCAAAATTGTTCAAGTAAATATTCAGACAAGATGTAAATAATTTAATACGATGAAGATTTATGGTATATTTTCCTACGATTTCTCACTTTTGTTACTTCTATGATAGAAATAGGAATCTTTGGTAATCTGAACATCCACGAGATTATCACGTATTGGCATACAGATACATATGCCATACGTTATTGGTAATATGTGTATGTGTATGCGCATACACATTATAGCGTCTCCACAAAGGTACGCACCGTATCCATAAACGTTCTAGCCTGGCCTTCACTTTCGTGACCATTGGTCGTATACATACGCTTACAGTTTGAAAAAATTTTTAAATAATGCAAAGATTCATATTTTCATATTTTTAAGCAATAAAATTAAATTTTAAGTAAAATATGTTACCCTGGTTACTACACAGAAAAATATTTCACTCATTATAAGAAATAAATCACAACATGTTTGACTCCCATAAGATAAAAATTAACAGAAACATTTAATTTCAAAATTTGCAATATTCGACATTATTTACAATTTGCATTGGGTCGGGTTAGTTAATCAAAAATTATAATAATTCGAGGTTAAGTTTTCCCTCTAAATGCCATTCAGTGATATACCTGTACGATTTAGTAGTGCCTTTAATATTTTGTAACATTGTTGCACATTGCAGGCCGAAATAATACTCACATCCTTTACTTTATGAGTTCTCAAACGCTAAAAATACACTTTTAGTAATCTCATGCAGTTTTGTTACTTTCGAATCATAATTTAATAACTGTGCAAAAAAAATCATTGCACTAGATTTATTTTTATTTTCGTTTAATGGAAATAATGCTATTACCTATCTGAATACAAGAGCTTCAAATACGAGTTCTGTAAAAATTTATGAACGAGATCCCCATTTTAAACGATATTCTGCACAGAAATGATCGTCAATTAATATATCAGCTCCAGATATTTTGATATAAATGATATTTCATTTTTAATTAGATGCAAATGTAAAAAATTTGTTCTTCGATTTGTATACCACACCTGCAGGTGATTTGCAGATTTAATTTGAAATATTTCGGTCAGTTTTTATATTTTATTCTTATAGCATGAATAAAATTTTCCTATACTTAGGTGTAAAAACTGGAGAAATGTATAAAAAGTTAGATTTCATATTTTTTATGAAATTGATTTCTTTATTATTTCATTGAACTCCCACTAGCTCGTATCATATTTCGACCGCTGTAGGATTGGGGTCTATCAGGAATGTGGTTTATCATTCTCCAACGTTACTGGCCGTGTCGGTCAGGATACCATGACAATCAGGGGAATATGGAATCGATCGATCGAAGAGGGCCATGCTGAACTTTATGCAGGAGCTTACTAATCCTAGCCACTAACGCCCAGAAGAACAGACATGTTGTCCTCGGGGAATTTCGGGATCATACAGCCACTTTAAGAACCTTGGTAAGGAATTTGACGGGTGTGCAAAGCAAGTTTATGCATGGACAGCGCGATGACATCTGCAGCAGCACGGACACCATTTTACGCCTTGCCTCGACACTTCAGCAGTGACAGGCGGCCTGCAGTAGGGCAACGAACGGCGATACTGAACGCAGGAGTGGTACCACGTCGTCTTTTCATAGGAATTCCGGCTCTATTTAGAATATCTGGATGGACGATTCCTTGTGTGGAGACACCGAGAAGAACGAACGTTGCCAGGTTGCTTTCATTATCAGTATACTGGACGGTACCTAAAGTACTGTTACAGGGTGCCGTTGGATACAAATTCGGATCACCTCTTAGCATGGATGATAATGTGGACAATCGGAAGCATTTATCAAGATGTTTCATTTGACATGATAATGTGCCACTACAAGTTACCAATGATGCCCTGATCTTTCTTGATGCAGTGTGTGTTCGACTGTTGCACTAACCAGCATATTCTCCAGATATCTCACACATTGAAAACATCTGGTCTTGGGTTGCCGGAAAACATGTTCCTCCGCTATCCGCTAGACACTGCGGTTCATGGACTCCGCTATAGATCTGAAGCCGCATGGAACAAAATACCTGAATCTATAATCAAAGCTCTGTCCGACTTGATGCTCAGCAGGATTACAGCCGTTGTGTTTGCCAGATATGGTAGCTCGTTGTACTTAATTCTACACATCGTGTACCATAAAAAACTTCAAATGTAATCCCAGTATGTTGCCACATGTGCAATTAATAACATTCTGCTATTTACTTTCCATTTTGGTTACAATTTTAACAGTCAGCTGTGTATTTTAGATCATTTGAAATATGCAACTTAGGCTAAGAGTTAGAAGGAGCTTCTCATCTGCTTCTTAAATTTTATGGTGAATAGCCAAAGCGATTCCTGCCATTATCTTGATGCTTTTTGAAGGTATTTTTAAAACAAAAAATTTTTGTGTAGTAAAATGTCTGAATTTATTGAAAAAAGAATTAAATATCGTAATTGTAATTATTTGAAAACTACAATTATTCTAGTGTAACTTTGTTTCGTTATTATTTGATTTAATAGGGTTCTTTTTTTTTACTTCACTAAATTCGTATCTGAAAAACAGTGCTTCAGTGTCACTTCTGTTTATTAGATTTGTAACTGAACAATGGTAAAAAAGAAAAAAAAAAAGAAAATATTTTGTATGTTAAGGAAATCAAGAGAACCAGCAAATTTTTACTGCACTATTTTCGAGGTGCTTCGAAGACATAGATTGTTCGAGAACTTTTGTCTCATCTAGCTTCGGGGACTTGAGTATGTGTTGTCCTTCATTAAAGGTCAAGGATTAATGTTAGATTACGCGGGAACGTCAACAAGTTGGCGTTAGCTATGTGCCCTTTTAGCTTTCGGGCTTATTTGCCGCTCTTGCGCAAAGGATTGCTTTTGACTGATTTTGAAGAAAATTGGTTTTTAGTCGGTTTAGGAGGTGCGAAAGTCTGAAATTTTTGTATCTTATTTTCTTTGTGATCGCACGAAGGAGTTCGTTCGCTCGTCACTTTTCTACTGGATTTCATGTAGGTAACACCTAAAAATGCTTCCGGATCATTCCTACCATTGGGAATTCGGAGCAACCGAAAAACGTGTCGCTTATTCCCCTCTTTAAGAAGATTTTAAAAAACGCTTATGATCATCTAGATTTTCTTGGAAGTTTAATGAACTGAAATTTAAGGTATTTTGGTTCGCCAGGAAAGGTTACTACAGTAAGCCAGGAAAGGTTACTATCTTTCCAGGAAGCCTTTCCTTCTTAGCCAGGAAAGGTTACTACAGTAAGCCGCCTGAGCGTTGATTGTTATGGAAGTTCGAGTTCTAAGACGGCAGTCATTTCGCAGATTCGAAATATGCCGTAAGTTGTATTACAATGTTTTCCCTTCCTTTGGAGAACTTCTACCTTAGTTAGAATCACCTTTTAATTAGCAGTGATTTTCTTCAGTTGACCCTACGGATTTTCTCCCTTGGGCTTTTATGCTGAACTTCGAGAGAAGCAGTGATTTAATTTAAGAAATAACTTCATCCATACATAGATATAGTTAGATAATGAACTCGACGTTTGAGCCGGTTTATTCTACTCTAGATGAACAGAGGTCACTACCTGCCGGTTTAGATGCCTGTCTGTCGTAAGGGTGTAAATTATGTGTGTCCTCCATGGACCATCTCAGATTTATCGTTTAGAATACATGGAAGTAGTCGGTATTCAGGAACTTGATTCACTAAAATCTGGTTCTCCAGCTTCCGAAGTCCTGACTTCCTTCGAATGAGGTGCCGACTTTATTTCCCCAAGGATGGACCTGACTCAATTTCTTCGTTTACCTTGTTCCTGCGTTCGAGGTCCAGCAGGGAATGGAAGGCTTTCCCGTACTAGTTTCCAACTACCGATGTCAAGAAGTTTCTTCCAAGATAAATTCATCGTATCATTATTTTCCTGTTTAGTCTAGAATCCTTTTAACGGATAGAAATTTTATGGACTGCAGTTTTATTTGCGAGTTATCATGATTCCAGAAATAATATAAATAATTTTGCTTAAGGACTAAATTGAATTCATCTTGCGATGTTAAGGGAAATGCCTCTTTCGATTGTGTGGCTGAGGATCAAAATCTTCTCTTGAAAGATTAATTGAAATATTTTCTCTTTTGTTGCAAACTTAATATGTTCAAAAATATGAAATGATACAATTTAGTACTTCTTACAGTTAACCAGGTAAACAATATTATAGTTATTTAATTGGGTACCCATTCTGTTTTTCTTTTAGAAATATTGTCTAATTAAAGGTTTCCCATGTAGGAAAAAGTAATGTAGTAATCAACCTTTAAACTTACTAATAAAATAGTAATAGAATGAGCTGAATTGAGGCTTTCGATTGTTTATTTTATGTTCTCTTGAGTGATCATTTGATATATATTTCTATATGTTTGTTACCGACATATTTCAGTATGATTAACTTAAGGTTTGAGAATTTTAATTTAATAAGTGTATAGTCATTCAACCGGCACGAAACCGGCATTCTAAATCACAACGCAAGAACCACATACTCGGTTTAATTAAGGTTATGAGTAAGGTGAATTCAATTATTTATTGGAGTAATAATTGTAGTACTTTTTGAATGGTACTTCTTCTTAGTACAGTAGGATTTCATGTACCCTCACTTTCCAATGGTACTTTTATTGCTTAACCAAATTCTTGAGTGTTTATTTAACATTATTGGCGCCTTGAAAGTTATAATTAATTAATTGGCTCCGTAAAATGTTATATTTAACGTTGGTGCCGCTCAGAGTTTAAAATAGAACATTTGGTACAGTGAAGGTTTAAAAATATTACAGTGGTGTTGTGAAAGCGGTAATATTTTAAGCGGAAAATTCATCTTTTCGCGAATGGAGGAGAATGTGTAATGAAGCAAGCAGTTTTTCCATATTCTAACAGTCGTAGTCTCTAATTTCTCAAATATGGACAGTGCAATTTTTAATGAAAATAGAAAGCGGAAAATAAGGTGGATAAATGGATATTGCATAAGCCTTAAAAAAGCCTAATATCCTTAAGAGATTATGTGGTGCATTTTGGAGAACACGACCAACAACTCTTCTTATTATTTATACTTCGCTTGTTAGGCTCATTCTAGAATATGCTGCCTCCATTTGGGCGGCTGTCTCTTCTTCTGCAAAGGATAAGATCGACACTGTCAGTACAGAGCATCTAAGATCATTATTAGTGCCATCTCATCTACAAATAACAACAAAGCAGAAACTGAAGGTGGCCTAGCCCCCTTCGAAAACGGAAGAAAGCTGGCCATCATCAAGTTCACAAACAAAATCAGAAGCCTTACAGATCTGCATATCTTCAGCAAAACCATTAAAGCGTGGAAAGGAAAAAAATTGAAACGGTCCTCCACCCTACAATTCGATAATGAATTCAGGAGAGAAATTAGCTTACAGCACGAAGTAACAAATCAATATATGTTCTTCTCCGCAACCCATTGTAAATTTAACCCTGTTGCAACCTTGTACCAAAACGAAAAAAAAAAACCGCCAGCTGCAATAATCAAGGAGAAAGGCATCCACATCATCAATGAACTTTCAAACTCAGCCCAAAATCTGGCTATTGCATATACAGATCATTCCTTCGACTCAGATCTCGACAAGGATGGCGCTGGCATCTATTTCATTCATGCTAATGGTGAATCTGAATCCCCTAAAATACCCGTTGGTAAAATTATCTCAAATTATACCTGAGAACTCGTGGCCATCAAAAAGGCTTTAAATATCTACCATTCCAAGGCAATCCAAAACTCCAGTAGCCTCTTATTATTCTGTGATTCTAAATCTGTGCTCTAAGCCATCCTAAAGGACAACATTTTACTTACTCAGGACATTATCATGCTCAACTACTGCAGCCCAAAAGACCTACACACTACAGTGGATACCAGCGCATGTTGACATTTACGGAAATGAGCAGGCTGATGGCCTCGCCAAAGACGCCCGAAATAGTTCTCAACTTTCCAACAGATTAACCCTTACCGATGCTGACGCGACAGACAGCCGAAGACTTACCTACCAATCAATCAAGAATTCCATTCCTGCACTAAATTGTAACCGTGTCATTTCCACTACCATAGCCAGATTGAGGACAAAACACTTGGAGAAAGGGAATGAAAATATCCTCTGATGGTCAACGAAATTATTAAAGCTGTCCTCACTGTATTCATATCGAATTTTCTTCAAACCATCTCTTCGACTGTCCTGCTATTTTGGCCAAGCTCTTCAGTATTGATATAGCTCCCTCCACCAACTCCTCTACTCTTCGAAAATTATTGATGTTGCTGCAGCTGATCTGAATACATTTAGCCCTATTTGTTTGTCTCCTCTGCATTGACGCCTTGGACAAGACAACAACACCAAATGGTAAAACAAGAAACAAAATGATGAACGTTTTTTCTTTATTCTATTCTAACTAGTCTCGTTTCCAAGTTACATAATCTAAGACACAAATGAAAAAAAAAAAATGGACAGAAATTTGCGACAAATGCTTTTTTCGTGATTCCAACACGGGTCCTTCGGCAAGGCAGTCAGCGACACTAAACAATATACTGGTTGGGCGGCACTCTTTTACGTTCTGTGATAAATTAATTTCTTTATTTTCTGTCAACGTGTTACCCCATCTAATGCGATTTTACTAAAGCTTCTAAGATGCTGGAAGTCACTGAAGTCAGAGAATACTGTAATAGCTCTTTTAGAGTTAACAATAAATTGAAGTATTTACCAAGATTAGCGATGAATATTACTGTTAGAAATGTAACTCAGACTATACTTCAAAATGAAATTCAACAAAGGATAACATAGCGAAATCCAATTATTCAAGTATAATTAAAAAATATATTTCCCCCCCTACTCCAGTGATACATATAAAATATTGCATTTTATTTACCTGCTCCAAGTTTAGCACGAGCCCTTCCTCCAGCATTAACTGAAATGAATAAATGCAAAATAATAATGATTATGTAGTAATTTAAATGTATGCTCAAACAAATTCAGAACAAATCATTTGCAAGGTTTCTTTGACAAATAGATTGTTGATAAAGAAGATTATTTACCTTTCTTATATCTATAAGAACAATTTTATATTATATAATATATAATTATATGTAATTATATTTAATAGTATATAATATATAATATATAATTATATATTATTATATTATATAATAATATATAATTATATTATATTTATATATATATAAACAGAACCTGTTTTCGCTTATTGCAGAACTTATTGAACGAAAACAAAGATGACTCCTTTTATTTCGAAGTTTATTCGAAGTATTACTGTTGTTCCTGATCACCTGCAAATTTCCGTGCATTCCTTCACCTATGGCTTTTCTTTCTGTAGGTTGTATGTACAATACTGTTACGAAATGTACAGGCGCGCTGAGATAGCTTCTCCGCAAAGCAGTTTTAGGGTTGCCATAACATGGCAAGGGAAGGCAGGATTGCCACATTTGGCGAAAAGTCGTCCATTTGGTGACAAAATTGGCTATATGTCATGGACAAATGTAGAAACTTCTGGAAGGAATTCCTACCGGTTTAGCCCAGAATGTTCGCGAACATCAGTCAAAAGCTATATAAACCCTGCTGGTACACGAAGGGTTAGTTAGTATCGAGTTGGTGTCTCGTCTAGTGGAATCGATCGAGTTGACAGCCGGCAGCGAATTCCGAGTGGGTCGTCGAGTGCACTGAAAAAGTCTCGTGGTGTATCGCGGTTAGTGCATGGTCGAGAGAACGTTTTGAGCTCCGGGAATGACTCAACCGAAGAGTCGGGAGCTGTGCTCTGTGTGTCGTCGTTTGCGTCGCGAGTTGTAGCGTGGAAAGTCTCGAGAATACGTGCAGTTCCGAGAACGACCAAACAAAGTCGGAAGCTGTACTCTAATGCTTTGCTGTAAAGCTGTCTCCACCGTTATAGCCTGTTAATTGTGTCGCTGATCGTGTCAGCTTATTTATAATAGTTCATCGACGACTGTAAAAAATATTTTGGAGCTGTCCTAACAATACTGGCCAATAAAGTGTGTTTTGATACTTCATCATCAAGTGTCGTCATTATTCAATCCAAATCCTCACGAACCCCGTACGAACGTGAAGGAAGAAAATAACGTAACAACTGGTATCAGAAGAAAAACGCAACAATACAGTGTATAAGGATAATCCGAGACCTGGTCATGGCTAGATATAGCATGTGCAAAACTAACTTTAGTGTCGGGGTTTAAAGTAGTGGTTAAAGAAATGAATAAAATCATTTTTAAAATAAAAGTTAGAGGCCGTGTGTAGCAGTGTAGCAAAATTGCAAAAACAGATTTTTGATATGCAAGCAACTTCCTGAATTTCGCATAACATATTAATATGTAGCATTTGGACAATTCCCGGATTAACATTTCGGTAAACAAACTTATAGAGTATGAATAACAACTTTATTATTCTTCATGAATATATTCAGTACTAGAAGGCTATACCTTGAATGAAAACGTACCTGCAGAGTATGCAGCAGAACCTCCATATGCATCTAAAAGTAATAAATGTACATTAATATTATTCATATAATCATTTTTATTCATTTGCTTGCAGCAAAATAAGTGATGTACTTAAAGTAATTTTATGAAATTAAAAATATATTTAAAATTATACAGTTCTTATTTGTGGATAAATGAGATACTCTGTTATTCTTGTCTCTCGATGAAAGTGCATTCGTCGAGTACTTTATCAATGCGTAATTCGTCTGTTTCATTTACAAGCATGAGATAGATATAATTTAATCTGAAATCTGAAGATCTGAAATCTGAAACTTAACAGCCTAGTCTAAAACTGTAAATAGTGCAGTTTGATTATCTAAGAAACACATATAAAGTTTAATATTAATATTTTTACATTACAAATTAAAAAAATCTGATGTTGACACCACTTGACTTCATTGTAAGGCTTACTAAAGTATTTACATTTTTGCTGTAATTCATTTAAACGTATTTCCTCAAATTTTATTAGAGATATATTTCTCATTCAAACAATTCATTTCTCACTCCGCGGCAAGACAAAAACTTCAAAACATCTTTGTTAAAAATTTTAAAATGCAAAAAAAAAAAAACCTAAAACACCAAATACCATTGAAAACGGATAAAAACAATTTTTGTGATTAAAATTAGAGTTTCTACTCCAAAACAAGCAAGGTCTTCTGACAACGGGCTAAAGAAAAAATTTTCGGGGCATCAAAATTTAAAGCTAACTTTTGGTGACACTGGACAGAAAGACACTGAACATGGCGCAACAGCTGATTTCATTCTCTGTACTACTATACTTTCAAATGTAAAAAAATTCGTTCCATATTAGGCTTAGCTCCACATTTAAATTGTTTAAAATTCTATATTTATTGCATGCAGATTATGAAAGGTATAAAAACATTAACCGGAGCATAAGAAAAATGGAATTCAATCACTTTTTCACAAAGGTAAAAAGGACACAGTTCAACAACGACGTCTAGGAACATATAGTTTTCTAACAACGTATAGGAATAAAAATATATAACTCAACGAACAAGGTAAGAGAGTAAGTGTATATATGTATTGATGCAACCGATTGCAGAAAAATAGAGAGAGGAACAAGTAGACAATATAGCAGGCCCATATAGAAAACTTCATTCTAATGGTTAGTAGTTTTTCTGTTATGCGGGATACATACATACGTACGTATGTAGAGATGTCATGAAAAAAATCTTTTATGAATCCATTTTAAATCCATTTTGAAATAAACTTTTGAGAAAGAGTCCTTTATTCTGTGCATACGTGCTAATGTTACGCAAAAGAAACCATTCAAATCGATTCGAGAGCTGTGAAAGCGATATATTTACTGAAATATGATAGCCCAGATTTTTTGCTATTACAATACTCCTGTTTCTTTGTATAAAGAAGTAAAATTGGAAGTATCTATCATTATTTGTAGTACTGGGGCCAATGTGGTGTTGCAGCTGGTCATGTAGTAACATAGATTACATCACAAATGCAGTTAAAATTGCGAAAGAAACTCTGTGAGATTATTTACAACGTTCACATTAAACTGGACTCTTAAATCTCAAATAAGTAGCATAGACAATTCGTATTACAGTCAGTCAATCCTTACAAAAAGCTGGATAACTTGTAAATCCAGAATACTACAAACAGATAGGGTAGCAAGTTTGTAATGAATTCCACCTCACTACAGTAAATATTCAACCATGGTCTTTTTAGAGTGCTTCAACAAATAAGTTATTTTAATGAAAAACATTCGATTAAACAATTCAGTATTATGATAATGCTAACAAAATTGGAACGTTATAAATTATATTAATATTCCAATTATGCCGAAGAATTGTTAATAAGAAAAATTAAGCAATACATAATAAAATTAATTCCGTAAAGAAAGTCGGAATCGAGCGCCATTCTGAGTCTGTTAAATATCTCATTTCAAGAAACATTCATTGATGTTACTAAACTTTATGCTGTAATTATTATATACTTATTACGCGCATTACGTAATTCGAGATATGCAAGTCTTTCCCGCATACGGAAGGTTTTTGCCTCTCCATTTCGACACGAAAATTAAATTTCTTATGAAAAATCAGATTTTATTCTTTCCTATCTATTTGTATCTCAGATCTCATGCGATCAGTTTAAGTTTTAATAATACAGCACATTAAAGCCGCTTGGCGATGATGAAAACGTTCCTTTAAGAGGCAATGATAAGATATTTTTGAAGATAAAGTATTTTTATTAATTTAGAACATACAACGTAAAATTTCCTCAAAATGTCAATATACTTATTGAAGAAATGATATCAAACTCAATTTGAATAAAACAGTTTTCATAGACACATCGAATGCATTGTTTACTCTACTGAACTGTTAACTTAAATGATAAATGATAAAATTTCATTGGACTTAAGTTACCTGCTCCAGCCTTAGACATAAGACGCGCTCCGGCACCTATTTTGCCTGCAAGTATTAAATATTTCAAAATTACTTTCATATAAGTGTTTATATCTGATCCTAAATTGAAGTACAAATTCAATGTACATGATATAATGTATACTGATTTTAATATCTTAGAACTTTCTTAAAAGAAACTATTCATTTTCATAGGAGTATATTCTCGGGATTCCAAGATATAATAAGAAACGCTGAACACAGCGCAACAAATACTGAAAGGAGCTCGTAACAAAATTACAGAACATTTAGCTGGAGCAACATCAAAAAAAAAAAAATATTATTCACAATGAAACATTTGAGGCCCTATCCTTGAGGAGAGTATTGGTTTAATGTATACCTACAAAGCATGCATATACAATGAAGCGACAAAAGTCATGGGATAGCAATATGCAAATATACAGATGGCAGTAGCATCACGTAGAAAATGCATAAATGCGAAGTGCTTCGCCACGGCTTTCATTTGTGTTCACGTTATTCATGTGAAGAGGCTTTGACGTGATTATGGCCGTACGACGAGAATTAACAGACTTTGAACGCGGAATGGTAGTTGGAGCTAGACGCATGGGTCATTCCATTTCGGATATCGTTAGGGAATTCAACATTCCGAGATTCACAGTGACAAGAGTGTGCCGAGAGTATCTAATTTCAGGCATAACATCCCAACATGGACAGCGCAGTGGCCGACCACCTGCACTTAACGACTGAGACCAGCGACGTATGCGTAGAGTTGTCAATGTTCACAGACAAGTAACACTGCGTCAAATAACCGCAGAAATCAATGTGGGACGTACGAGGGACGTGTCCGATAGGACAGTGCGGCGAAATTTGTTTTCCTTGGGATAAGCCAGCAGAAGACCGACTCGAGTGCCTTTACTGACAGCACGACATGGCCTGCAGCGACTCTCGTGGGCTCGTGAGCACATCGGTTGGTCCCTAAACGAATGGAAAACCGTGACTTTGTCAGATGAGTCACGATTTCAGTTGGTAAGAGCTGATGGTAGTGTTCGAGTGTGGCGCAGACCCCACGAAGCGATGGACTCAAGTTGTCAACAAGGCAGTGTTCAAGCTGGTGGTGGTTCCATAATGATCTGGGCTGTTTTTACATGGCATGAACACGGTCCTCTGGTGCAACGGAACCGATCATTGACTGGAAATGGATACCTTCAGCTATTTGGAGATCACTTACAGCCATTCATGGACTTCACGTACTGAAAATCCCATAGAACATTTATGGGACATCATCGAGAGATCAGTTCGTGCCCAAAACCCTGCACCGTCAACACTTTCACAATTATGGACGTTTATAGAGGCAGCATGGCTCAATACTCCTGCAGGGGACTTCCAACGACTTGTTGAGTCCATGCCACGTCGAGTTGCTGCACTTTGCCGGGCAAAAGGAGGACCGACAAAATATTAGAAGGTATCCCATGACTTTTGCCTTTTCAGTGTATATAGAAAATCCCCATAACATTTTTTTATACATAGTGAAATTTCTAGGCTATTAGAGAAGATGATGATAATGTCAAAAGTGGGAAGATACAAAAAGAAAACAGTGATTTAATATGTGTCTTTATTCTTCGTCTGACATTTTGAAGAGATCTGTAACTAAACTAGCGGAAGAAAACGTGCCCTGTATTCTTTGCGACTGGTTTAGTTAAAAGTTTCACCTTAACGCCTATAGGTTAAAAATGGCACTTCCAGTTCTGTCATTCCTAAGTACAAGCATCAAGGGCGTTGTGTAAGAATTATTGAACTAGAGATTAATTTTGATATGACGCAGCTCAGGAAAAATATTAAAAGTATATTATTAATTTTAATATATAAATCTTAAGAAGGAAAACTAAAAAGGAGATTTAAAGGGCTAATCACAAAGTAGAGAATTATGCCTTCATTTTGCAGCAAAAATGATCATAACAAGATAAAAAATTATCATTAAGATACAGTAAACCCTTGACAAATGTGAACTTGTGGAAATTGTTGTCTTCATAGTCTCCATTTAATTTGTCAAAGGGGAGAATTTCAACTATAGGCGGTACCCTGCAAAGCTCGGCAGAGCTACGATATCCTGTGTAGAGTTTTACATTCTTCCACCAAATACCACTTTTTTACTCCAACGAATGGACTTTAGGAATCATACAGGCATTCAGTGTCCATTGTACCAGGCATGCTTACATCTCTGCAAATGAAGCACTGTTCGAAGAAAGCGGGAACCGTTAATGGCATTTTGAACTAATTCAACATTGCATAGAAATACTTAAACACATTGGAATAAATGAAAACAAGAACCATAGCATAAGTGCTGATCAGAAACTATAAACGATTTTAAAGGATTTTCCATTGATTGAAAATTAAACCACTGAAATAGTTTATATATGTTTTCCGTATGTTATAAATTTTTCAAAGAGACGACAGTTAAAGCTAACGAGCAGGAATAATAGAGAATCAATGATAGAACTAAATGTTTCCAAAGACAAAATATTTATATTTCATTAATTAACATAGCTTGCACTTTGTTGACAAAATCATGCATGACCTATCCAGTAAATATATATGGCAATAAAATAGTTATTCATAGGTAAGTCAAGTAGAAATTCGTGAATAAATTTATACCAATAAATTTTAATTTGAGTTACCTGCACCAACTTTAGAATCAAGACGTGCTCCATAGGCAATTTTACCTGAAATTAATAAACATTTAATAATTATTCTCATATAAAAGTTAGCAGATAGGTCCATACCGAAGCTAGCATTCCACTATAGAAAACATACTCTATAATAATAGCGCAATAAGTTTAATACTGTGTAAAAGTTTTAATTGGGTATATTTTAGCACCTTCATTTTAAAATCTTCATATTTGTGTAAAAACTACTACATACGTCTTGAGATTTAAATGTACAGCAAGAAAAAATAAGTTAGCTCGAAGCAAGCGCTAAACTAAGTTTTAATAAGTTAAGGAATAGTATTTAGCTAGCTAGATACTACGTAGTTAGTTACTTTTATCTAGAATCTGTTAAAGACCATCTATCTGAACAAAGGAGTGGCTAACTAGAAGTTTTATAAAGTGCATAGGTATATCACCATACAATGCAATAATATATTACACTCACATAAAAATAACCTATACTCTAAAAATCATAATAACAATGAATATATTTACCCCTGCCTGCTCCAATAACAGAGCCGTAAGCACCTTGAAAAGAAATAAAAATTGTTATATGTAATTTCAAAAAAAGCACACATGTTTTTAATTTCATTCTAGCGTATTGTATCTGAGCTTTATGAAGTTTTGCTCCTACAAAACAAAAAACTTCATGAAACTCACACGCAAAAAATCTATGTTCTTATTTGTTACATATTTGTTACATTGAAAATCATGCAACGACCATAAGTAATATGCTGATCTCGGCAAAGAAAGTTTTAAATAAAAAAAAAGAACTACAATTTTTAAGAAACAGAAAATTCATATAGAGATGCATAGTTGAAAAAAGAAAAGAGAATATTTATGTTAGTATGTAAGAAACTGATAAAATACATAAAACTAATATCAGCCAAGAATGATCAGCTATCTCATCGGAAGACACAAGTTAAAAACAATTTTAAGCAATAATTTGGAAAACAGATCTGAAATAAAAGTAAATTAATACAAAAATAAAATAATAATAATTAAATATTGTGATAATAAACAACAGCTGATAATGCCTTGGTCTGAGGAATAACCAAAAGCATTATCATTAGAGCCACATTTCTCAATTATATCTAGATGGATTGCAAAAGAAAATAATCAAAGAAATACATATATCGTAGTTTCAAAATAAAGATAAATAAATAAAAATATATCAAATGTTTGCTTTCAAGATGAACTGATGTTAATGCAGCAAAATAAGCTGTCGTGAGTTTTAAGAATATGCTGAAATTTAAGCCATATCAGAACAAGTGGGCCGATCTAAAAATAACGCTAGCTTTGGTGCCATCATCAACTCAGCATTCACTTACAAATCATAGCGTCATATTCATTACAAACTTCCGTAAAACACGGAAATTCGTTCTTAAAATGTAAGTACATTTTTATTTTCTCGTACACGATTTCATCAGTATGAAGCAGAAGACGCAGAATCAAGCAGTAATAAATACAGACTTACTGAGCAAAATAAAAAATAAATGTGCTAAAGATTAACGTACAAATCAAAAACAAAGAAGCATTTTATCATTAACAAAACAGAAAATGACCGAAATTAGATTATCCATTTAATGGTCAAACGTTGCAACATTCTTGGAGAAACTACCAAGATTCAAGTTCAATCTCTGAGTCATCCATCGTCAACTAGAAACAAAAACTGGAAAACTAAAGGTAAACTAGGCAAATGATAAACTGTATTATTTGATGTTCTCTTTGGGTGATGGCTATCGGAAATACCTGAGTTATCGGATGCGAAGCAATGGATATTGCAAAAAGACAATGCGGAAGAGAATACATTCATCTACTTAAAGGAGGAAATGTTGACCATAACATAGAATAGTAAGTTTAGTTTATTTATGTAATATCATGATCAGTCCTCCAACGGGAGCATGTGACTTAAGCAAAATTGTTTAAGAAAGTGTTGCAGAAATATGTCACAGAAAAGTTACAACTGTTTGCAGCTCAGACTGAAGTGGTTACTGACTAAATTACCGAAAGTCCCGGGCTCGAATCGAGGAGAAGGGTAGGATGTAATTTGTCCATCCCTTCGTAGGAGATAACAGTTGGCCTGCTATTAAGTGATGAACAAATCTAGTAGGTGCCTCCATAATAGAAGGAGATTAGTAGGCAACTCCATGATAGGGAACCACAGTTTTCGGCCTTAGTGTTCGCCAACGCATATAAACGTCTAGACCCCGCCATTGGGGGAAAGCATTACAAAGGCTCAAATCCTCTCTTGCGCGACCTTAGACTTTACCTACATAAATGTCTCATTTATCTATACAGCTGGTCTCTTAAATATTCTCCTCCATGCATATTCAATGCATTTATTATTCAATACGTTGAAATAGCTTCATATTTACGATGAAAGCAAAATTCATTCAACATTATGCAAGTCACTTTAGCTGAGGAAGCAAGCATTCTTCTTTGTAGGTACCCAGAAAAATTAAAGCTCAAACATTTTTCCTTCAAAAGAAGTAGTTTTTCCTTTTCCTTCCGACTTGTTTCTTAGATCTTAAATAATCGCGTTAAATTCCAGAGATTGCAAAATTCAGTGAAGGCTAGGCTGGAAATATTCGGTAAAGAGAGAGATATGCCCCTAATACTTCCAAACTTGAAAGCTTTGTGTTAGTTTACATATATAACAGATATTTAGTTATAAAAATAGAGCATTACTTATTCAAGAAAAGGTAACAAGTACAAATATAAATAAAGCATTTATTCATAAAATTTCTTTAGTTTTGAATTACCTGCTCCAAAGTTGGAAGCAGCATCCAAGCCAATGTCATCGTCGCCTAAAATGAGTGAATAGAAGATAATGACTTTCATATAAAACTTTACATACAGGTCTAGGTGAAGTTTATGCATTAATATTGAAAATTCTTTATTTAAAGCAGGTACTATGCCTAATGTTCTGTTGATATTGAAAATATATATGCCTGCATAATATATAGAAATAGATTAAATTTCTATATTCATTGCAAAGCATAAAATGACTGCGTTAAATGATTGCATTGGTAGGTAGTCGTCAGCTTATTGCATTGCTGGTATTCAAGGACCATTGGTTCTATAATATCTTGGAATTATACTTTGCCTTTATGTTTTCTTTAAATATGTGATTTTTTTTAATCTTTGTATGAACCTCTATAACAGAGTGCAAATGGAAACGGATTGTTGAACCTTACACAAAATTATGTGTGAAATTATGTTTGGAAATCATATATAGTAGCAAACGTGATAAAAGAATTTCTAAATAGCTGTTCCGTATATTGGGCTTGGCATGTGGCCTTCAGCATTTTATCTGTTCTTCGATTGTTCTTTAGACTCTTTACTTCAGGAAGCATTCCTGGATTAGAAAAGGTGGACAGTTTCGAACCATTTCGTTGCAACTTTCCATTCGAAATAACTCTGCTCATAAAATTATTCGTATTTTCATATTATAAGTATTATGAATTACCGCAATTACACATTATGCACTATAATTTCCGGTATTGTTTGAAATATATTGTTTTAAGATAATTATGTACTGTAAATTCCCAATGCGAATTTCTGAAGTTACGTTCTATGAGTTACCTTTATATTAGAACTGAGTACTGTTACATGAAATATGAATTTCTGATTTGTGAAATAAAAATTTGAAAATGTTTTCATCGGTGAGTTTAAACCCCCATGTCATCAAGCATACATTGTTAACTGATAAAAAAGAAACAACTTACATATAAATTTTCAATTAAGATATTATACAGTTTCCGGTTCTCTTTAAAAGAAAATGTCTTTGCTTTAAAACAACCAAATAGTCGTTAGGCTTAGTTCGGAACAGAAAACATGAAGAATCAGCAAAGGGAAAATTTCTTTCACTGCTTATTTTATAATGGTGTAATATGAATTACTTAAATGTGTATTCCCAAATATTCCCTACACTGTTTTATGGAAGAGTGATTAGCATATTAGATTACAATTGCGTATTATATACTGTTACGAATTTTGTATTTAGTTAGCTTTTGTTATTAGAATTATGATTAAAATTGTTTTATTTCCCCTTGCAATGCAGCACGAGACGAGTTTTAAGAGAAAGCTACGCCGGAAAATTAAAAATACAGAAGGACGCCCAATGAACATTGAATAAATTTATATCTCGGCGATTTATATTTGAATTGTAATTGACTACTATGTTAACTGTAATTGTAATTCTACTTTTTTGCTTTCCAGAAACCTCGAGAAGCAAAGAAATTTCCAGAACTTTGTAGCGACCAATTGAACGCTTTAAAAAGCAAAGGAGAATAACATCTCAGCTCATTTGCTTATTTACTGTAAACGCGATTTGTTTAGCTTTCTATTTGAACTGCGTTGTATTTTAACGTTTTTAGTAGTTTAAAGTATAGCTACTGATTGTACTGAGTTCTACTGATTATTACTGACTGATATTGTGAACACTTGTACGAATATCTCTGAAGAAACTTCCAGCGTTTTATTATATTTTTTATGATAAGAATTAATTTTATTAGCCTTTTATCGTACTTGTGCAATCAATCTATTACGAACCGTACGCACGCAACAATACGTGCACTGTGAACTTTTGCATTTGTATACACTGAATTACTTTTTCAACAAAACTGCCATTTTAAAATTCTGAAACTAAATTCTTCTAAAGAATGAAAGGACTTTTGTACATATTTTAATTTCATAGGCAACATAACTTCCAGTACAAACAGAAAAAAAACTGTATTTGGCCTGTATAGTGTTTGAATGTTACACTTGGCCCACTTAAAGCTGTATAACTGGGATCTTAACAGAATTATTGCTATAAATATCTCATTGAATTCTTGTGTTTTGATGTGAGCCCTGATTACTCGTAGACATTGGTTGATTTGAAATTGTAAAGCACTAAATCCTGAAAACATTACTTGTGTTTCTGCAAGCTATTGTTTTTTCTAGACTAGCAGTATTGCTAGTTAAACATGTTCGCTATATACGGTAAAATACTGGTTCTATCCGCTAAAGTTTATTGCTACGTCCAATCAAATAATTCGAAGCTGGCATCTCATACAGAATTATGGTTTATATTTTAAATTATCTTAAATAATTTAGCTTGATATGCCATGAAAATGTTTGACGTTAAATTAAGGAGAAAGACTGTCTATCCTAACGGAAATTTTCAAAAACACACGATGTAGGGTTAGTATTAATAGGATGGTGTATATACTTTGTAGAGTCTTTCTCGAAGCAAAGAAATACAAGAAATCCGCAGTCCCTCGCCGAAATTTGAACTACGGATCTCCCGAATACGCGTCGAACGTGCTTCCATTTGCATTACAAAGGCATGCGGAAAGGATGTAGAGAATACCTTTAATAACTTTACAGAAAATAACTTTACAGGGTTCAAATGGTTTAAAAAAACGAATTGATTTACAGAAGGAAAATGTCAAATAGACAGTTTCATAGGGTGATTATTTTAATAATTTCAGTTTTTGTAATTACTAAATATACTTTCTGTAAAATGATTTCTTTCTGTATGAAATTTCTTCATATAAAGACTTAACATGAAAGTCTACTTTCCAAATTTGGAATGACTACTATTTCTTATTTCAAAACATTAATTAGAATGGAATGTTTATATTTTCCAACGAGGTGGATGAAATATACGATGAATAAGTAAAATGTTTACCCGGTATTTGTATATATTGCAAATAAATATCATTTATTTGAAATACTGTATATAAATAATTCTCATTTTCTGTACTAATACATTCATTTTAAATCTGAAGTGCTATGTAAGCGAAGGTTTTGCAAGTTAATATTAGAAAAGAATCTCTTGCTGTAGACCAGTATGAAGCAAAAGCATCAAGGTGCTAAATTTAGAGCGTGTTCCCTTTATTTCAGGCAACGTTGTACCATGACGTATTAGCAATTTGATTCTCTAGCGTTGGATGTTTCTAGCCATTTCGCTTGTCTGGCTGGTTTTTACAAACCAGAGCCTTTTCTACGCGTTCCTTTATCCTGTGAGCCGACAGGCTAATTTATTACTTTTGGTTTAATTCAATTTATATATTTAAGTACGCCAGAAGTTCCAAGTTGGGCTATTGTTGCCACTTTGCTTTCAAATAAAAGGGTCGTATACACCTTTCTTCTGACTTTTGTTTTATTTCACAAGACTAGAAGAAAATTCTTCTACAGTCTTCTTGAAGTCGATATTTTATGCTTCCTAGGAATACAAGATTTTACATGAGCGCCATAAAGAGAATCAAAATCTAATAAAATTGTAGATGGTCGTCCTAGATAGCGTTCGTCGCATAATAATGCAATATCACAATATTAGCTTACGGACGCAGCTAGCTGAATCATGTAGATTTTATTTTTAAAGATTCTCCTCGGTTTAAATGCCCTTCTCAACAGACTGTTAATGTTTGAGTGAGGAAACTTGTTGCATGACGTTTCGATACATTAAATTCCAAAACTAAACAAATACGTTCAAGTTTTACAGATAACATCTAAACCACTGTGGAAAATATAGTTAAATGATCATATATATTTAAACATATATTGCTACTACGCAGATGGAAGAGTTACGTGTCAGACGTTACAGAGGGGAACATCTGCTCCCACAGTGTGTTATCCAGTTTCATACCGCAAAACGCCTGGTACCACTGAGTGGAGAACTATTGGGTATAACTCTCGATCTCATCTAATGCGGACTACGGGCAGCCTCAGTAGTGCATGTTACATAAGATACGTTGTAGAGACAGAGGTCCTTCTCAGTCTCCCATACATTCCGGGCGCTGTATTTCATCAGCGTAATGCCCGTGCACATGCTTCTCAGGCTGAAAAAGCCTGCTTTAGGACACAACAGGTTTCGCGTTTTCTATGACCTGCTTATTCTCTGGATATATCTCTCATTGAGCATGTCTGAGATTTCATCGGTGGGCGACGTGTTCGTACAGCTGGTGAGGAACACACTAAGACTGAACTTTGGCGTCAAGTCGAAGCAATATTGAATGCAATTCCCCAGGATTACATTCAGAACCTGTATGATTCAATGCCACGACGTGTGCAAGTTCTCATCGCTCATCCTGGTGGACAAATAAATTACTGATATCCAACGATATTTTTGTTTTTTTTTTAATCTTGCAAATTTGATCGTTTATTTGCTACACTATCAGTAATATATAGAAAAAATGTCCTTCCTTTTTGACAATTCCTTGATGTTGCTGCAATTTTCAAAACAATAGTGTACTTAGAATAAATTATTTGCAAAGAAATTAAATACTACTTAGAAAAGTACTGAAAGTATCTAAATATGAAAGCTTCGTTTACATTTCTAGAAAAGTAAGTACGAACTCATTTTCGTAATGCAATTTAAATATCAGACAGGCAACCTGCCATTTCTGTAGTAACTATGAATCAACATCTGAACAATTAAATCTGTGAAAACGTAAATGAACAAATACCTAAAGATATGCATTTAGTATTTTTATTTAATTTTTGGCACTTATAGAGCGTAGTATCATACTAAATCAGTAACGATTTGCATGCTTTTGTTTCGTGTTTTTCGTTATCCCTCATAGCTTTCGCCATAAGATAGCTAATTTCCAAAACTCTCCTCTAAGGATCTCTAAATGGTCTCATATAATACAGAATAGCTACTTTATAGTAAATAGACACAACTCTCCCAGCTTTCTGAGCTCAAACATTATTCTTCATACTTATGGATTTTGCTATACACCTTGTACATATGCATATGCATACACATACATACGTACTATAGAATAGAAAAAGTATTAATGTTAATTAATTCAACAATGTAGATACATCCAGCCTGTCCTTGAATTGATAGAAAAAGTATTTAACTCAGATTTTCTCTATTTTATTCACATTAATTTCACAGCCTTTTGTGAAAATTTAATCGGTTTTAGTTAAATATTTCCCAATTTCCTTCTCTAAATATTTGCATAATATACATTTGGGATGTATTATATTCATAAAATTATACATTATTTATTTAAGAGAAAGATGACAAATACAAATCTCCATAGTACATTTTATCGTAGATAGACAGAATAAATACGCTTCGAAGGTAAACTCTGATATTAATTAAGTATTAAATACCGCTTGGAAAATTATCTGCTCAAACCTTTGGTATAAAAATTACGTTCAACAAATTTCTAAAACGTATAATTCAGTAATTTAAGATATTTTAGTTTTAAAATTATAATATTTGACTGTCATTGAAAACTTAAGTTTCCTTGAAGTACACTGTTTCCTAGATTTTCGGAAGTCCATCTAGAGAAGTTTTGTCAAAGAAAAGCAAGCAGAGATTTTAAATTATAACAAAATTACGTAATGCTCACCACCAGATATCAAGTACGTAACTGAAACTTTCCGTGCATTTTACTAAACATAGGATATTATAACAGGTTTACAAATCACAGAGGTCTATAAATACAAATTCAATGAATTTTTACATCTATGCATTAAAAAAACATATTTACCTATGTATTCGTCATACATTTCTTCATCACCAATATACCCTAGACATAAAACAGACACATTTACAAATTATTACATAATTATCTGCTTCTGCAATTTCATATCAGTGTTGTCTAATATTGTATCAAAATTTCACTAAGTGAAATTATAAACAACCTAAAATCTGGATTTTTCTTATGCATTATATTACAAAGTATGCAATATTTGATGTAAATAAAATGCAGATTGCAACATAGATATATAGTTATGAAAAAAAAAACGTAAAACGTTATTTTATGACTATTTAACGTCGATGTGCAAAAAAAAAGAAGTTACAATATTATGTGATTCTTGACCAAAACATAGTTACCAAGAATTGTACTAACTTAAGTTGAAATCTACCGATGCCGTATATACTGAACAAGAATTATTTAGAGGTAACGTGCTCCATACTGTACTTAAAGCTCTTACGATTTTCATTGCGAAGTAAATTGTGCTTTGCACTGATCATATCCTAAAATTAGCGATATGGCTCTTCGCACAAATCTGAAAGAAATCTAACTCGCTTTAACGGATTTTTCAAACTCAGTGTATGATCTTGCTGGATAATTAGGTGACTAATGCGTGATATATGATCTCAAATTAGAACATCTGACTTTTGAAAGATTAATGAAAATTTAGTAGCTATAAACTCTAAATTTGGATTGTTTTTAGTTTGGCACGTCAGAAAGTTAAGGAAAATCTCCTCTGTTTTAGCTGCACTATTTTGCTCTCAAGATATTTCAAAATTTTGGGAGAAAAAATGCCTAGAAATTAAAATATCCGGAGTAAAATTCTCAAAAAGTGAAAGAGATCCTGATGTCAGAAAAATTTTCTAACAAATTATAAGAAGAGATAATATAGGGTGATATACCGTAAATTCAGCTCGTATCAAAGGTTATAAGCATGTAGGAGTAAGAAGAAGCAGTAATAAGAAGAAGGCTACATACTATAACCCCAAATTTGAATCAGCTTGTTAAAGGTGAAAACTCTGATTTAGTCATATAAGACTTATATGAAAGAGGTATAATTGAACCAACTGAAGATGGAGATCAAACTTTATAAACATTTTAATTAACCTATTGAGCTGCGCTAAAAGAAGCAGCACAACACCAGTATTTGATGAAAGATAAAAATGAGAACTTTCTGGAAGGAAATAAATGGACAGAATTCTTTTTTAACAGCAGAAAAGGATTTTTAATGTTTCAAAGAAAAAAAAGTAATTGAATATCCTTTCTATTCACATTAATTGGAAAGAAAATAATGAATTAAAAATAACTGTCTAATAAATTACAAATAAATCAAATATAATAAATTATAACAATTTATTGTCATTATAAGAGCTTTTGGAAACATGTATTGAAAATTACTAAGCTATCAGTGGAAAAATTCCCCTCAATAGATGTATTGTTACCGGCATTTAAAACATCTAATATCTCAAGGTATTAAATTGGTTAACTAAGAAAAGATTAATATATACCGGGTGTTTCAAAAACTAATCGAACAAACATTAAAGATAATAACGCACACACCAAAACAAATTATTTCATCACAAAGTGCATGGTCCATTTTAATATTGTTACGAAATGTGCAGGCGCAGTAAGATAGGTTCCCCGCAAACCAGTTTTAGGGTGGCCATAAAATGGCAAGGGAAGGCAGGGTTTCCAGCTACATTTCGCGAGAAATCGGCTATTTGGCGACAAAATTGGTTGTATACCGTGGATAGATGGAGAACCTTCTGGAACGAATTCTTACCGGTTTAGCCCAGAATGATCTCGAACACAAGCCGAAAGCTATATAAACCCTGCTGGTCCGCAGTCAGTTAGTGTGTGTGTCTCGTCTAGCAAGCTGATAGTTAGTCATTGAGCGAGTGTCTCGAGGTCTAGCGCCGAGGTGGTCGTCGAGTGCATCGTCGAGAGAGTCTTTTAGTGCATCGCGAATTAGTGCATTGTCGAGTTTTGTCTTAGACTGTGCTGAGTCGAGAGCTATACTCTTGTGTATCGTCGAGTGCATCGCATGGAGAGTCTCGAGAGTACGTGGAGTTCCGAGAACAACCAAGCAGAGTTGGGAGCTGTACTCGGGTGCTTTGCAGTGAAGCTGTCTCCATTGTTATTGCCCGACAGTGTGAAGGCTGGATCGCTGAACGTGTCAGCGTTTTTATAACAGTTCGACGACTGTAAAAGTGATTTTGGAGCTATCTGATTAATATTGATAAATAAAGTGTGTTTCGATACTTCATCAAGTGTCATCGTTATTCACTCCAGATGTACAAACCCCGTATGAACGTGAAGAAAGAAAATAACGCAACAACTGGTGTCAGAAAAGAAAGAAAAACTCAATAACAACAATATATTAGAGAGTGCAGACACGCCCTGCATTCAAAGGCAAATGATGTCCGTCTTCTTGTTAATCCATTGCAAGTCGTTAATGACGCTGTATAGGCCCTGAACCTGAAAATTCAGATGCAAATATATGTGGGGTGTCACATGAGAGACTCAGTGAATAAAAGGTGACTGAAGACACCATGCCGTAATTAAATGTGTAACTGATAAGGTAGGTGTAAAATAACTGTAGGTGGTAAAATATAAACGCAGGTGAGAAAGTCCTCTAAGTAAGGGATTAAAAAAGGTGACACCTTTGTCTGTAAGGATTTCGTCTATTTTGGGAAAACTCTGGAACCATTAGAAATTAAAAACATCGAATGTAAAATAAAAGCCAGCAATTTAGGAGCAAACCTATGTCAAAACCAGGAAGCATATGCAAATAAAATACAAAGAAACAAAGAATATAAACCCAAGAATAAAACGGAAGTAAAAAAAAGGCACGCTCTGCGCACACACACGCAATAAAAAATGTCTATGTCTTCCGTTCTACCGAACCGATTGACGATTTTCCATGTCTCGAAAGCGTGACTTAAGATATATATTGGATTTATATATAGCAATTGTTCTAACATACTTATTTTGACACAAATTCCGACGTTTCTGAAATGACATACCGATCTCTTCCATACTTCGATTCTACGAAACTCAAATTATGCCCAAATGTTATATTTTTTAAAATTTGGGAAGAAACTTACTGAGAAATTTAAAAACTTATCTTAGCACACATTTTTTTGTTTGTGACAAGAATAATTCACTTTGCGAATTTTTAATTTATAATAAACTATTTTCCTTTCCCTTTGTTCATTGTGCACTAACGGAAAATATGGTACTTTGTTCATTATTTCAAATTAATTTTCAACAAAGTGCGTAAAGCGCGTTTGGCGTTATTATCGCTTATAACAAATACGTCAAATTTTAAAAAGCGCCAGTACATAAATTCCCGTATACCTTTGAAAATTCTGAATACAAAATGCTAAGTTTTTGCCGGCATCCCTTGAAATATGGCTTAAAGTTATGGTAAAAGTTTCATAGTTTATAACTCAAAAATGCTTCCGAAAATTTATAAAAATCATTAAAAAATAAATTAGAAGATATTTGTGAATTTTATTTGAATTGAACCTAAATTTCGAACTGTGAAAGAAGGAATCGAAAGCTTAATAATATATAAAAGTTGAAATTTAATTTTTATTTAATTGAATTATTTAGATGAATGTTAGCTTTTAGGTTTAAAAAATGATGTTTAAATAAAAAAAGAGATATTAATAAACATATAAAAAATTCAATTAATATTGAGGAGCTAAAATTTTGAGAGCTATTCTTTTAGAAAGTACTAGTGTAGATTTTGCAAAAGTTATCACTTTGGCATAATTTGAGTATTTCAGAAAAGTCTATTTTGTGTCAGAATACATGTTAGAACAATTGCTGTATATAAACTTAATATATACCCTACTTCATGCATTCGAGACATGAGGAATACAAGTTAATTTCATCAATAGCCCCAATAGAGCGAAAGATAGATTTATTGTTACAGACATCTATCTCAGTATATATAACATACAGAACTTTTCTCCTCTTTGTTTCCTTGTGCAAGGAGTATATGCTAAAATTATTTCATTTTTACGCTTGCTTGAAAGAAATAAAACAGTGTATTGTACGTTTACGATGTTAAACATACTAAATTTAAGGACATTATATGAGATTTCCAAAATAATATAATATAAAGCAATGTGTCCTATATTACAAAATGTTTATAATGGCGGATATCTTATGAGTAGATTTTATTACTTAAAGAATTACGAGATTCGACTTGATACATATGGCCTTGTTATAAATTACATACTGTTAATAACAGACAAATTCTTAGTAAAATACTTATTTAGAAGTATATTCTTCTCTACTCCTCAGAAAAAGTCGAACGGAAAAAAAAATGGATTTCAATTACCTGTTTCAAGCAGCTTTCATTTACGAATGTTTATATAGGTGCATATAAAACTGAAACTTTGGTACCGAATATTAAGCGTAATTCTTCGGTACCACGCCTAATGTATTATTATAGCTTTAACTCAAAAAATGAAGTTTTGTAGAATTTAAAATCATAGCGTTTCACAAGAAAGAAAACTATATTTTATTCACCTTTGCTACATGTATGCCTCAACAATGCCCTTGCAAATAAGGACTGCTGAATTTTGGTAGCTTGAACTAAATTCCTAGTTGCGCTAGTTACATGCTATAATGGCCTAGTTGCATGGCTGCCTTTTGTGGTTTTATCATGTGAGATATGGATATGAGCCAGTCTCTCTTAAATCATTCTGTCCTTAAGAGATAGTCCTCGTGGGCTTTGTCGCATTCAAATAATCTACCAACCACATTTCTGAATTTAAACAACTTGGATGCGAAAACTTTCCTAAGAACTGTGCAAGCGCCAATTTCCCACGTTTAACAGCTAAAACATTTTGATCACTCCTTTAATATCGCTTTACTGTCCGCTTGGCATGCAAACCAGTTGGAATCCATCGTAGCAGGAATTCCGCAAGTTCTTCCTAAGTGTCCGGAGAGAGATAGCATTAAATGTAAGCAAAAAAGAATCAGATCATGCAGATACCTTGAAATATCTTAATAGCGAAGGAAGTTGTTGATGAGCTCTGAAATGGCACTCTGTGACATTCCAGATGTGCTCAAAAGGACTATTACCCGGCAAGTTAAAAAGTCAGGACATCAAGTGGCAAGAAGTTGTATCTTGCTAGAGGAATGGAGAAAATAAGTGCCATTGAGTGTAACTGATCAGTAATGATATTTATATAGTCGGACATCTATCATGGAGTATTCTACAACAACGGCCGGTCCAAGATACTTATATGAAGCCGTCCTCCAAAGCGTTATACATCCGCCACCAGTTTGTTTACATCCACGGGGGACTAGTCGAAAACATTTCATCTGGAAAACGGTTGTCCTTACACGACCATTCAAGTGATTCAAAAGAAACTGTGGTTCATATGACTAGACATCTTGTTTCCCAACCTTTAATGGTCCAATTACGATGCTCATTAGATGATTTAAAAACAGACTACCATATGCTGCGAAGGCCTATATCTACAACACTCAATTATCTGAGTAGTCAGATACATTTTTAAGATTATCTACAGTATAATCAGGTGTTATTTGGCAACTGCCGTGTTTACACTGTAGAATAATCTCCGACGTCCGCCTTCTTTTGTTCAACGTGTACCCCAAAGCGCTGGTGCCTACCATCGGATTCAGCAGGCTTCTTCCACTTTTCATGAGAACTAAACAACGTCAGTTCTCGAACATACGACTAGCTTTGCTGTTTCAGAGAGTGCCTTTCAGCCACCATAATTTTGCCTTTATCCAAAAATCTAAAATCAATAGCCTTCTGCATTACAAAGCAACCGAAGTGGACAAAATTTTACTTGAAAATTCCTATCAGATGGGAGCATCCCTTGTCATGTACCATGTACGTCATTTCAACTAGCACGTTATTGTATTCTACAGGTGGTTGTACTGTTTTCGCTGAGCATATGAGGGCACCCGGCTAGCTTGTATAGTGGTCAGAAAAGATGCCATAATTTATATTATACGCTTGAAAACTTATATAGTTAATATATTTACCTTTGTCTGCCCCAAACCATGTACCAGTGTCCAAAATATCTTGACCTGAAACAGAAATATTTATAGATAGTTCCCGAAATATTAACAGATATTTCAAAGGACAAACTCAGATATTAATAGTTTCATACCTGCGTGGCTTTCCCTAAATTCCGAAACTTTAATAAACTACGGCAGATAAAATCCGAAATTCGATTTATTACTCATACATTACTTTAAAAATACATCTGAGATATAAGGAATTCAAATTTCCTCACAGAAGTGTGTTTAAAAGACGAAGGAAAGTTACAGATGGCAAATAATGCGAGATTAGGTAAGTAAGTAATTTGAAAACAATTTATGTACATGACTCTTCTTAAATTAATCAAATTACTAGCAAACACGTTTAGATTTAAAGTATTTATTTTTCTTTCGCTACTAACCAGTATTACAATTATTAAATGACGTTACAGCATGGAAATTTCAAAGTTACGGGGACAAATAGTTAAAGGAACACAAATATGCAAGACTTATTTATTCTATAAAAACTTACTCTTCAGAAGGAATTGATTTGTATTGACATTATAAATTTCAGGGAGATTGAAAGCGGGCAAGAAAAAAGTTCTTTACAAAGAGCAAGAACAATCAACTACCAGATTCTTAACGTTAAACATTCAAACATTATACGAACTTACTTACTTCATTCAGTATTCCACAATATACCACTGAAAGTTTCAGTTGCATTTATGTCTTGCCATATAAACATGTCTTTGATAATTTGTGAACACAAAACTCATATGTATACAATTTATAATTATAACATCATTTTGAGAAAACTTTATAATACCAATAATGCAGTTAGTTTTCCTTCACGCTGATTCATTTCGTAGGTTATTTTCAGTTTCCGAAAAAGACTTCCCAATACATTCCAACTTGCTTGTTGCTTACAGAATTAATACCATATATATCCATTCGCGTTTCAAATAACCAAAAACCCATAATAATCAGTGTTTTGCAGTTATACCTTCCAATCAAAAATTCTGTATGATCCAGCAATTTCTATCCTTGAAAACGAACTCTGGAAATTTAAGCAACCATTTAGATTACCACTAGCGTATTTAAGCCTAGTAAGAGATTTTAGAAAAGAGTAATGATTAAAAATAATTCATAAATAAGCGCTTAAAAATAAGAAACGTTAGTTACTTAAATAGATAATAACATAATTATAATAAGTTACCTAGTTTATTTAAAATCTTTCTCATATATATTATCATTTTCAGTACCTCCACATTTAGTGTATGAATTCTCATCTTCACTGTTCCACCACAGTACATAATCTTCAGTACCATTTCAAGCATTTATAATGCAACATTTAAAAAAAAAAAGACTTTTAGTGATTTCTTCAGGTATATGAAGGAAGTGGAACATCGGTAAACGCAATTTGAATTTAATGCGCACCCTAATTTTATGTCTTAAAAATGTGAATAAAAATAGGGGCTTAAATTGGATATAATTCAATATTAAAAGAATCAGTCTCGCTTATGGAAACATTTCTAGTCTACTAAAGTCAAGAAGTCAAAAATATAAAAATCATTTTCTCAGTATTCTATGAAGAATTACTTTTAAATCTTCCATTCCGAATCTCTCCTCATAGATTACGTGAATTTGTAATTCTTCTGAAGTAAAAGAAATCGATTAAGATAATCTAAATCAGAAACGCTCTATTGAGAACCAAGAATACGGTCAAACATATTAAAATATTCAAACTTTACGCTTCCGTATGTAGCACAAATTACTCAAAAAATCATGCATTAGTTATTCGGCAATAGAATAACAAATCAAATCTTAAGAAACATTATTTATAAATTTCCAAAGCATATTTTTATATTATCTATTATGTTGCTGAATCTCTGACAAAATAATAAATAAAATTTCTTTAAATTTGAATTACCTGCTCCAAATTTTGATCCAGGTTTCATTCCGGGGATGTATTTTCCTGAAATCAGTAAATATAAAATAATTACATTCGTATAAGGGTTTTATTTTATAGGTCCATAAAATAATCAGTTTGGAACCAGCTTCCTGTAGTACTTGAGTACTAAATGCAGCATAATATTGTATTTTTACTTGAATAACTGAAATTACGCTGAATTTAAAATCACAGTATTTTTCAAAAATAATATATGTTCTAGTCATGAGTTGCATTACATTTCTGAGTTTCGAAGATCTAGAATGAAAGAATAAAACACAGCTAAATAAGAACTAAACAGAAATCTTAGAAAAAATACAGAATATTTGGCTACGGGTTAATGTAAATCATTCGAAGCATTTAGTTTAATGTAGTTTTCGAGATCCATTTTTCTAACCATAAAAGTAAATTCATGTTGCATATTATTTATTTTGCACAACATGAACATATGCGAATGCTCTTGTCTTGTATATTTATGTTACACAAGTTAAATGATACAGTAGAAAAAATTATATTTACCTTTTAAAGCTCCAGACCAAAGACCATTGAAGCCAAAATCATTTTCATCTAAAAAAAAATATTTACAGATATTTTCTCACAGACGTTTATGTTTGTAATTCCATACCAATATAACTTATGTAAAATTATGTCACGAAAATAAAAATGTCACGAAACACATAAATCTCATTTAATAATTCTGCATCATATTAAAAATTAAATAGCGCTCACTATATACGAAATACATTTTTCCACAGATGAAATTTAATAAGTGAAAACGAAATCTGCAAATAACAAGAGATATAAACAAGGAAGATTTTATCTTGCGTGAACAGGTAATTTACAGGAATTAGTGATGTAAGGCTTATATTTTTTGTAAAAATGTATTTAATGTAATTCGTCCTTCCCTACCTTTTAAATTGGAATTTTAAATTCCGATAGAAATTTCACTCAGTTACTTTCAGATTTACTAAATTTATGTGAGCTGGTTTCATGCCCTGTAAAATGTTATTTTGCTTCTTTCTTTTTCTTAAGGGATGCTACCATGGAGAGAAATTTAAAGTATACTAAAAGAGTAATGATACCTATGTAACAAATTTGAAATTTTAGGAAAAACTGGATGTTGAATTTACAGTCGTATTCACTTTTTAGTTAAAGTTTGAGATAAAGGCACAGCATATTTGATATGTAACTAAGAATATTATATTTTAATGCAATATGATTTTTCTTCCCTAAAACGGAGATGTTATTTAACTCGGAAAATATATAAAATAACAAATAAATAAAATAATTTTGCGTGTTTCAAATTGTAGTAGATTTATACAGCAAATTAACTGTTCAGAACAATGGTTTCAGTGGTGAACAATTGCTAAAGACGGATGGTAGCAGCAGCGTTAGCAAGCACGAAATGAAAGGCAGGCAAATCTGAAAATTAGTCTAAGAGCAAGATAAAGTAAGACGGATATAGGTTGTGCATGATACAAATTTTGGTTTGCCGAAGTTGACATAACATATAAAGATGAATAATTTCTGACTTCAACCAGCAAGAACAAAATGCCATCTTGTGAAAGCATAATTAAGAACGTGTTCCTGTCATAAGTATCCAGATAGTCAGGGTAAAAAAATAGGGCAATAGAAGGTAAGAATTCCTGTTTACCCTAACATACAATAAGGGATCTTGAACCTTTTGTATTAGTATATTCAAGTAAAAGACAGTAAACCAAATTTAAACCGACTCATACACCTTAAACCCCACATGATCTTCGAAAATGTGACTGTTGCAAGAATTGGGATATTTTTATTTATTTTAAAAGCACTTACTTCCAACTTTTTACAACTGACTACATAATATAGCTGCTTTGGAAACTAGTAACCAGAAAGTTTGTGTTGCCACAAATATTTTTGTAATTTAATCCTCTTTGTGACAAAATATTTCGCCATGTTTCCACCTTGCGCGCATGATATTTTAAAAATGGTTAATGGTACATGCTTGAAATTTGATGGAATTCTTTATATGGGCACTATTTTCTAAATGAACCAACAATCTGGTGAATATTTTAATATTGAAAAATTTTACGGACGAAAACATTACAAATTTTGTTAATAAAATATATTTTATAAACTCAACTCAAAATAAAATAAAAATTTAACATGAAATTTTTAGAATGTTAGGTTCACAGTAGTTTCCAAAGGTATAAAAGCTATATATTAGATATGGAATTAAATTATGAAACAGAATGTTTTAAACTGTGCGCGCAAGTTGGAAACACGACGAAAAATGTTGTCACAAAGCGGATTAAATTATAAAAATATTTGTGGCAACACAAACTTTCTGATGACTATTTCAGAAAGCAGCTATATTATGTAGTCAGCTGTAAAAAGGTGGTAGTAATTGCTTTTAAAATAAATAAGTTATCCCAATACTTGCAACAGTCACCTATTCGAACATCTTATGGGTTTTAAGGTGTACGAGTCCCCTTACATTAAAATAGAGGTCTGTAGCCCATCGATAAAAATTTAATTTATTTTTATTTAATTTTTTATTTTAATTTGTATTTTAATTTTATGTTTCATCTACTTGCTACAAGTTTAAATACAGGACTTCATAAAATATCCAGCATTTTAATCCGAAGCAAATAGTATGCGGTACTTGGGCACCATATCCAATACATCAATACAATATTAATCCAGTAATTGAAGTTGCATTGAATTTAAAAGATATTAAGTTTTATCATAGTGCTAGTCAAAAATTTAAAATTATATTTAATCAAAAATTGTACTCAGTACTAAATTCCAAAAATCTGAGATGAGATACTGAATCGGAAAGAAATAAGCACTAAAATTAAATTATAACAAATAACTCAACATTCATCATCTTCCTAAGCATTTGAATGTATTCCTGTAGACATATAAATTAATATGACATAATTTATTTTAACACATGACATAATTTATTTTAACACATGACATAATTTATTTTAACATATGACATAATTTATCTATAGGGATGTTATGAGATATTTAAGGCGAAACGGTTTACCTTCATCTTCGTCATACAAATATTCGCCGCCCAAACCAACTTGACCTGAAAAAAGTATTTGTATTTATTTCATATTTACAATGAATATTTAACTAATTTACAATTATTTATAATTAATACTTAAGTCGGATTTATGTTTATTAATCATGCTTTATATTATCAAATTTTTCAGCTTCTCACAATGTACTTCTTCCTGATTTGTCTGAACCCTCTTTAGATGTTGGCAAAAAAGTAAATCTCCAAATATAAAGTTCTTTATATCAGTTATATGAAAATAGAAATTTTCAAGTTATATTGGCAGCTAATTGAAACTAATTAGTCTTGTGGAACGAATCGAATTATTGGTAAAAATTTGCTACAATATTTATAAATACTTGATATTATAATGTACCGATATTAAATTTCATAAATGATAGCTCGAAAACTTCCGGTTGCATGGACAAATAACTGGAAAAGCTTAAGAATGTAGGGCTTAATCTTTTATATCAAATTATATTCTACCTCATTTATTTTTCCCTAGGAAAAATTTTATATTTTGAGTTCTGCTGATGCGAATTGCGTACCAAAGTAAGAGTGATTAGCTTCTAGTAATCAGCTATTTTATCTATTAAATTACAATATGCGTAAGTTCAGTAATTATAACAAACAGTTTTAACTCTTTCTTTGACACAGGAATGCCACCCAAACAAACTTGACCTGAAATGCAATGATGAAAAGCAGTTTAATTGACATTCAAGGAACAAGTATACAGTTAAAAAAAGTAAAGAATATGCAAAAGATAATGGTTTTAAATAGGTAGCAGAAAAACTACTTACGGTCGCAGTTTGAAATTTAAAATACAACTTAAATACTTTAGTAATATTCTGAAAAATATGGCAATTATATTAATCAGAATGGTAAAACGCGTCTCGTGTAAAAACAAACATTTAAAAAGAAAATGAGATGTTTAACGAAATATTTAGATTTCAAGTGTCGTGCACTCTTTAGAATTATTTAACCCCAACGAAGAAAACACAAAGAAGACTCCTATTTGCAAAGCAGACGATTGCGCCCCCTCGTTTATCACGAGGAAATAATTCAATCCTTTCCTTATTTTATTCCGAGAATTACACCTGGAAATTCAACAAAATTCATAGAACATTCTTCAGTTCAGTCGAGGATGAATAAGAACGCCTAGGCTTTACCAAAGTTTAATAAGTATTATTGAAAATCAATTCTTAATTAGAAAATGTTATTAAAATATATGGCATTTTTTAAATTTGTCATAGTCCAATACATAACATAAACGCGTAAATTTTGAACAATGTGTTATCCAACTGAGAGATTAAGAACGGTTCTCACTTTACAGAGAAAATCACTAAATTGCACTAAAGAAGTATAAGCTAATTATTTAAATCATTGAAAAGTCGGAAATAAGCAAAATTTTCAATAAAGATTAATTTGCCTTTCTTTTATTTAACCCATAAGCACCACAGGCAACTTGAGCTGGAAAAGACATTTGTTGCTGTTCTATATATGCAGCATATATGAAAAAGGGATATATCGTTTTTAGCATATATATTTATATTTTTGTGTTTGTAACAAAATGTGTACTACCAAAATTCTGGAAATGACTCCAAGGTTTATAAGTGCAAAGGCAACGACTGTAAACTATTATTTATCTATTATATTCTAAACTAATAAAAATGGAAGTGTAATAGGGCTATATCCATTTACTTATAGGAAACATTGGGTGCCCTATTGCATTTCAACATGTATCTGTTTTTTCTTATTTCTTGGTTTCGGCTGCACTAAACATAATAAACATACTATATTCTCAGACTGTTCGTGTCCTTCATTTCTTGTGTTTTGTATCGTATCTAAAGCTTTCACGATCACGTTCCTATGTGTTTTTCCATCGTGTATCTCTCATAATATGTTTAAGATATTTGCTGAAACGCCCTGTATAATAAATAATATTTTCAAACAACATTACCTTGCCTTTTTCATATTTCGGCGGCAGTTTTTATATTCAAATCCTAGCGTAAAACCAAATGTTGAATAAAACTGAATTAATTAATAGATCGATTTGAAATTTTAAAGAAAGACACACGAAAAAGGGAACTTTTTATGCCCTAGTATTCTTGCAGGTAGTATTAGTGTAGGATTAAAAATAAGCGAAGAAGGCGATTTCAAAAGACTTTATAAGCACCACCTTAAGTGTCTTCCAACAACTAATCGATCTAGTAAATGACATACTGAATATACATAAAATCTAAAATGTGTAATATAACATTCTCAAGTAATACACGGATACTCTTAAAAATATAATGATTTTCGCTAAATGAGTCTCTGAATTATATCTAAAATGTATTGCATGTAGTAGACAAACTATAAAATCTAGTACCATTAACAATTACTGCAAATGTATGTTACTAAAAAACATAAAATTGATGTCTGGGCATTATAAAAGCATTTAGAATCGTTCACAATTAGAAAATACTGTAAAATATCAATAAAATTTACCTGCTTTTCCTTCCATGTCAGCATTGGTTTCGTAGTCAAACTGATCTAGAAAAAAACTATATATATATATAATACAATGAGTAGTATATACATTTATAGTTTATTCCTGATAGTAATAAGAACATTCCTAAATTAAGACTTCCTTAAATTTGAATATTTGAAATATAGGACCAGAGATCGAAAGTCCAACAATGATTGATAGTTGCGTTAGAGATCTGAAATAGAATGGTATTTTTTAAAATTTATTACCTATAAATATATCCGCCAGATGACACTTCGTCTGCAGTTTATACAAATGACCTGAAGTACATGTAAAATAAGGTTACGGTAGCAAATGTCCTTTGAAACACCATGTAAGATGCTATGATCAATTTGCAGTAATTTCCTTAATAGGTCATAGAATACAGTTGTCGCTTAGCGTTGTCACATCGCAGACCACATAATTGCTGTCATGGCGTCAGTCTTCCTCTTTTATCTTTAGCCAGCGTAGGATTTAACGGTAATCCAAGTTAAATCCTACGCTGAAATCTCCGAAATTATTCTTAAAGAAACTTCATTGATGTAAGTCAAATTTTGGAAATGAGCTGATTTAAGGTTGATTCTAGAATATTCCGAAAGTGTACAAAATATATTGCGTTATCATTTTGACCTATGTGCAATAAATACTCGATAATAGTCATTTAAAATTTTTTCAACAAAATATGTTAAGTTAATATCGAAATAGTTACAGTACCTGTCAAAATCTCTTTAATTACGAAAATGTTACTAGAAATTTCTCGTCATTTCTGTTAAATATTTCCCAAATGTAAAGAAACGTTAAAGTATAAAACGATTCATACCATAAGGGATCACAATAAAGTATTTACAGGATATAAAAGAGGAGACAGTTCATGAAACATATGAGGATTGTAAAAATATGTAGGTTAGTATACTAACATGTTAAGAAATATTAATGCGACATAAAATGTACAAATCAGCTTTCTTTCGTAAAGCAAGTAGATATATTTTAATTCGTGTCCAAAACTGCACATTAGTATGCATTCAGAACATATTTTATGCATTAGTCTGTAATAATTTCATAATAAGAACAAGAAGAATATAATAATTTAATAATGAAAACACAAAGGTATTTTTACTTTAACACGTCCAGCTGCTTTTATTGATACTCTAAGATGATCTTTCCGCTGGCATTAGGAACAGCCTGGGGAATATATTTACTTGCAACCTCAGGTAAATTTTGCTTGCCAGAACATGTAAGGCAAAATGTTGAGCCAAAAATAAACATAATGTGACTGTAAAATCCCGAAGTCTGATAAATTCTAGGCTTACTGGTAAAACCTAGCTTTTACTAAAGTGGCTTTATAAAAGTCTGAAGCCTGCTGTATTATGATTCCATTTCGGACTTTTACCAAGCCTTTGCGGCAAAACGTAGGAATTACGAACTCACTCGGGTAAAAGCCCAAAACGGGAGATTTAAATCGTCTCTGAACAAATCTAAGCACGCAAATTCCGCCGCGACACGTTTCGATTTCTGCTCCTTCTTTGCACAACTTCGAGTCTAGCTTCGAGCGTATTCAAACAAGTGTAAGAGGCTATGATCTAAAATAGAAGCAGTTTGTTTCCATTTCAACATATTTTACGTTAACAATCCTACTGAAACGAGGGTTTCTCGCCAAAACGTTTTGGTGATAAAATTTCGTCCACTCGGTGAGTCTGAGATAGCTGTTCCTAACCTGAAATGAGCGGAGAATAAAAAGGTATTCATTTTAATGTTTTTAAACACTAGGTAAGGTGCTACGATGGCTTATCCTTGTATTTCTGCAAGTGTCAAGAAATCATGACATTGCTTAGCATTTTTACACTGCAAGCAAACAGCTCTTCTACGAAATCTTATCTTTTATGTTCCTGTATTTAAAGTCAAATTAACGGAATTATTTAATGGATATTATTTTTGTATTTCAAGTTAAATCCTATACTCAAAGCTCTGAAACCAATCGTGTCCCTAACAACTGCTCTATGAGGCATAAAATACTCATGATCATCTCTCTCACATTTCTCAATAACTCCATTTTGTTTTTGGTCATTTATTACTTCTCTATACCCATTAGCAACACAATCAGTTTTAGAAAAGTCCTTTCCTAACTCATCAAAACACTTTTTAGCTAAAAAAATAATTATTTCCTAATTCAACGTAACTAAACTTCCATACTAAATCAGTTTCATATCTCTCATTCACGAATTTAAATTTTTCTCAAATTAGTCTATCAGCGCTTTATCAACTACATTTAAGTCTTCTTTTTCTTTAATTCCTAAAGCATCAAACTCTCACAATACCTGAACAGCTGAAGCGGCTACACAAAAATGCGCTGAAACTGCAGTTTTAACATTTGGCTTGTAAACATCTTGACTTCCCTATAAAGCAAACCCGAAAGTCGTTGGCACGCAAGTAATTTCCTGGTTTATTTTTTCGAAAGAAGCTTCAATAATCTGCCAAAAGACATCTGCCCAAATAATATCTCAATGTTTATATCACTGTTACAGCAGTCGGCTAAGATTAATCAGCGGGACTGCATAATATTTTGTACTTCATCATTTCGAACAGAAACAAATGCCGCTGTAATAGTATCGGCCACTAGCACTTCAATTTGAATACACTGAATTAGGGTTGTATCTACTAGATAATTTTAATTCTACTACTTCATGTAATTTCTCAGTAGGCTTTGCTGAGCCAAAGGAAAAATCTGACTGCCTTTCCTCTCTAATTGCTTTTAATTTTAAGCAATTGGCAAGGGACTTCGTACACCAGCTTCTTTTGGAGCCATTATCGCATAATACGCGCGTCATTTTATTGAATTTTGTTTTATCAATAGAGCTAACGTATACACTGCAAGTGAGTAACAGCACAGATGATTTTTGTATTGACCTTGACACTGAAGCATTGCATTGAGTTTGTTCGGCGCCACCGTTCTCTAGTTTAGCTTTATTTTGCTTATAGAAATGAATCATCCAATGATGAGCTTTCCCACAGAAACAATTTCTGGCTTTACATTTTTTTGCATAACACTCAGAAGAAAAGCATTTGAAGCAAAGATTATTTTGTTTAATTATTTCAACAAGCTCATTTACTGAAAGCATTTTAAAATTAGGACAATTTTGTATCGAGTGCTTGGATTTGTTTTACACAAAATACATTTTTGATCTTTTGATTAAGACACATATATATTAGAAATATTTTTGTAACTATAACTACGAAGTTTATTAACATTATTTCCATCGCCTCTTTTATTATCGTTACCTGTAAATGATTTTGCAAAAAGGTATTCTGGTTTCTGTTTACCTTTTGATGACAAATAAATATCGCATTCACGACCTAAAGTTTGGGGCTCGAACCATATCTCTCCCTTTTTAACTGCTATATGGGTCTTTAATTCAGGATCAAGCTCACTGAATATTTTATACGAAACCATGAGATCACATAACGATTTAAAATCTTTTACGTTTCTCAACTGACAATAATATTCAAATTTGCACTTAACCTTGATGCAAATTGTACAAAATTCTCAGATGGCAATTTTTGCGTAGAACGAAAATGCTTTAAACTCTCTTGAGGGTTTGGCTGAAATTTCTTTAAAATTATAGACTTTAGTTTACCGTAATTATTAATATTATCTTCCTTCACATATACCATTCAATTAGTGACCTCCTCTCCCAAAATATTTAATAGGATTTCTGCTTTTAAGTCTTCAGGTACATGTTTCGTTCTAAAAGCATTTTCAATTGACTGGAAAAATAGATTCAAAGATTCTACTTTAATAGGTACAGAAATTGTTAATGTTTTTATACATTTAATTAAATTTTTCATATTTCGATTTGAGTTGTCCGTCTCAACGTTTGGATTTTGTAGCAAGTATTTTCTAGTGTTAGCTAAAGCTAATTCCGCCTCTAACTGAGAAAGTTTTTTGTTTTCTCTAACTTTAACCTAATTTCGTTTTCCGATCTTTCTTTTTCAATTTGTATTTTCTCTAACTCTAATCTAATTTCCTTTTTCTCTAGAATATTATCAATAACATTTTGCACAAATTCAGGATCATTTTCGTAAACTTCTAAACTTTCTATTAAACTTTTCAAAGTAACAATTTTCGCCCCACTCGGAATTACTAATCATACTTCCTCCACCACGAGCATCAACTCGCCTTTTTTAATGACTTAAGCGATTTCTTAATTCAAAGAAAATTACAACAATCCTGAATTGACAATTAGAACACAATAAGCACAAAACACGAATACATAAAACTCAACACAGACACTATCAACTCAAATTATAAAGTAGGAACACCTCAATGCACAACACTAATAAACAGAATGTAACACTAACCATTATTTCAACAAACCAAAATAACTACTCACCATAATATACACAAGGGAACCATCATCTTCACTGTCGATTTACGCGCAACACATATTCATATATCAGCACACTATTTTTTCTCACAGAATTTGATGATACACACATTATTACTACCAAATTTTCACTTAATCCCACATCTAACACCAAAAATATTATGTTCACCTCTTTCTGGAATTGGCTGAAAATTAAAACTCTACACGATAAATATCATTAATATTTACTTTTGCTCCAACGTACAAACTAAAAACACAACACACTTACATCTTTAGAACACAATTACAATAAAAATAATCGCGTGTTGCCACATCTATGAAACACAATCACAGAAAACTTCATTCATTTAAAAATATAAATAATTTATTTTTAGCTTTTTAAGGAATAGCAGGAAAGCGCTCTTTCGGCGAGCAATGGACGGCGTAACAAAGAACTTAATTTAAGTTTGCATAAAAGTAATTGATGTAGATTTCAAACCCTTGTTAAGTTAAGAGATATTGACCCAAATCTCCTATTTAAGAATATGTTTGTTAACTTGCGAATATTTTGTTTTTGATAACAATTCTCGATAAACCGGGAGATCACCATATAATATGGGACCTGTCTGAAAAGAGAGAAACGTTTGTTTATTCGGAAAATATAGGAAATTTGTCACAAACCCTCAGTGTAATAATATTTTAGAATATATAGTGGCTATATTAAAACACGTTTCCGCTGTTAGAATTAAATGTGCAAAGAAAAAAACGGAGTCTCTCACTTTTCAATGTGTTCATGCGCCATTCGATGCGTTCCTCAAAATCTCCAATAAATCTCCCCTAGAAACAATTCGGTGTTCTTAGCGTAGAGCTCCGAGATTTATTTTGAGAAGGTTAAATATTTGAAGAATTCTTTAAATACCTTCCACACATTTTGTTGCCTTTGACAGAGAATCGAAATACGCGAGGAGACACAATGATAACGCCAGCCGCAAACAAAACCATCTACTTATGCTTGTGTGTTTAAGTATCTTGAACAAGATAAAAACACTATGCAAATACTTTCCTTGAACACAAATGAACAAATCATCTAACTTGACGATTGATAAAATTAAAAAGTTTCTGCAAAAGCTCATTGATAATAATAATACGAAATTTGGGACCAGAAACTTATCTCTGCGGATATCCCTTCTGAAGTTGACGAATTCTTGAGATGGCACAGAGAAAAAGTTCGACAACCCTATCCTTCAGCAAATCAGCAACTTTAACACATTTAATGCCTACATTTTGTTTAACCCACGAAACCCCACTCTACTTATAGCCACATGAGGTAGCATGTAGGTCTCCGTAGGCCCCCGAAGCAAATTGCTCGCATGATTGAAAAACGCATTTACGTAATAAAAACATAGTACATAAAATATAAAAGAGTAAAATTATTTTAAGTTAAATGAGTCTAATAAAACTGTATTTTTAAAAAAATTTTAAGATTGAAATTACTTGTCATTAACAACAAAAATCAAACTGTTTTATTCTGGCGTAAATGAAATTTAGTACTAATTATGCAAAATTAAATAATCTTAAAATGAAACTTACATTTCACAATTTTTGTAAATAATCGTGCTGTGTTTGTTCACCGCAAATATTTTTTTGCACTTAGCACAGTATTATGATGAGATAGTGACTCCTTTACACAATGACATATAAGTCTTCTCTGTGTCTGCAGTTTATTTTTTCACTGAATTCGCGAGAAAGCTTTTGCTGCCAACTTCTTTCTTGAATGTGATCCTTCAAAAATTCTAATGCAAGTTGTTTTATGAATGAACTTCGTTCTCTATATTGCATTGCTGACGTTTTCGCAGATAACAATAATTATTCTTGCATTTATAGTTGGGATATTCAACGCTGAAGTGGCCATCTGTTGTTATTTCCAGCAGTAGAATAGAATAAGTGGATGACATTTCATTCACTCCGTCTACAGCACTCTTTATTAAATTATAAAAAGTTATAATTTACACTTTTTCCGCTTCTCCAATCGATGGCACTGGCATTATGCATGGTGGAGAGAAGAACAACGCATTTGTTTTATTTTGGCCTACAGGAAACTAATACAGTTTTTTGGATTGCAAATAATCACGAAATTACTTCTCGTCTTCTGCCACAAGTCCATTCTTTTGGCAATTCTTTCTTATACTTTCTGATAGTTCCTACAAGCGCAATTTTCTTTTCAAGGAGATCTTTTAACAAAGTGTAACTAGCATAACAGCTATCAATTTAAGATTGCACCCTGAGTTCGAAATAACTTCTTGAGAACTTTATCAGAAATAGTTTCTAAACTATATGGCTGTGGGTTGCGTTCCTACATAAATTGCGATATTTAAAATGTAAAATGTCCTTGCATCATTTGCCTTGAAATATTTTTTCTAGGTTTCCTTCTTCTTCTTGGCAGGCGTCCTTGAGGGATAGCGCAGTTAAAAAGCCCGCTTGGGGTGGGGGCAGGTACATAACAGAAAAGCAGCAAAAATTCAAATATTTTTTCCAAATTTTGGAATTCTTTAAATTGTAGATTACTATTACTTTTACAATAGATATTTTGAGTTAAAATGTTTACCATTTTCATGTGTTTGCTTTGTAGAAATAAATTTCAATATTGATTTATTAATAGTAACATTTTTGTGTAAAGAATCTTGTTCAAATACTTTTTCCATCACTGTAACTGCAAATTTCAGTTTCATTGAAAAACTGAATAAACGCTTTCTTGGATAAAGCAATGCACAAAATAGTCTCAATTGCTTAATTTTATCATTTAAAAGTATAAAATAACATTTTATTGCTAAATTACTATTGGAAATATGCAAATCTAACTCTATGTGGCAATGTAGCAACGTTTCGGAGATTTCACTACATTTTAAAAAATTCGTCAGAAACCTCGCCATTGTCAAAAAAATATCCCGCATTTAACTGTTTTTTTATTTATTTATCTATTATATGAATATTATAGAATATGACTATTTTGTTCTTTTACTATTTTGTAATTCTCAATATAATATATTCAAAGTTTAATGCTGGAGAACCGTCCTTTTGTGTGTTAGAGAAAGGTTCGCACTTTCGTAAATATTAAAAAAATAACTCGTAGAAAGTGAAACCTCACATTTTAAAATTTCTGAAAATTTAAAAATAAGTGTAATTTTCTGCAAAAATTACCTTGTTTTCCTTCCAATTCTTCAATGGGTTCGTAGTCCATTTTAGCTAAAAACAAAATACACAGATATGAGGAATTTGCAGATTTTTTATACAGAAATTTTGTTTTTTTAATATTTACAGAAATTTAGCTTTTAAGTATAAACTTGTTCAGAAGATGACGCTTCAGCGAAAATGTTTAAAATAATAACATGCATTATATATGTGCAATAGCGCTGCATTCTTCAATAATGCAGCCCTATTTATTATTTCTTATTTAACACCAAGTATAGAGGTATGATTAATTTGCACTTGATTTCTGCTGAAGTCATATATTATTGATGGTCCTTAGCATCGTCATGTCGTAGCTTTTATTCTTCATACAGTAGCCGTATGCCCAAACAGATGTTTTTTTCTGTTTCTTACCGAAATGCCATAATAGACAAAAACCAAGTTAATATGTGTGCCGAAATCAATAGCACAATTTTCATATAGATATCAATAAGAAGTAATAATCAGTAACAGACTTTTAATACTTTTTTACAAGCCTGCAATCATAATACCAGAATATGTAGATTATAAGCCATTTAATTAAGCAAAGGTTATACGTAATTTTTCATAATTTCTGCAGAGTGTTTCAGCATTGCATATGAAACGTTAATAAGCTCTTCATAGTACGCAAAATCACCAGAATGTTCTTTAATAAAATAAATAAGGCGTTTAAAAGAATAGCATGTTAAGTTTACGAAATTATACAAGTTAAAACATTACCTTATATGCTAAAAAGTGCTACGCTGCCATAAGCTCTTGTAAGTTGGCTTTCTTAGAAACAGAAAATGTGTTCTAATTCCTATCACAAATTGCAGATCAGGAAGCATTCATTGCAATTAATGTGAGTTATCTTATTATACGCTTATAATTATCACTAGAATACGAAGCAAATTAAATCTCGTAGGCATTTCCAGTTTAATAAAATCAGGAAATACAGATAGCCAACTGCCCTTTATCCATAATCTTGAAGAAATAGTTTTAGATGACTTATGCTAACTAAATATGTCAAATATTAGGCGAACTAGTTTGTTTTTCACATAATAGAGGAAATCATTCATTCCGGATGATTTGGAAAAATTCTTTTAAAAGTCAAGGATTGCCTGATTTTCATTATCTGTATGGATATCTATTTATCTATTTAGATAGATCGATAGCTAAACAGAAATAGATATATAACTATAAATATATGATTAAATAATAATAATAATATAAATATTAATAATAAAAATATATAATATAAATATTAATAATAAATAATAATAAATAAATAAATAACAATTAATAAATTTATGGGAAAATAATGCTTTAGTTATTCAAGAAAACGATAATTGAAAAAATTTTAAAAAGAATTATTCTTTAATATCTAACAATATTTCATATTCATTTATATTAATAAACTGCGTAAATAAATACAGTGTTTCCGTAGGAGTTCAATTTCAGTTCAACCATCGAGTTATAAAAGGCGGAGATTTTATTGAAAATCGCACTTAATTTTTATCATTTTAATGACCTGCAATGCTAAGAACAACTATGGAAGATATATTAACACTCTGGCCTACATCGAAAGCATGAATGAGGTCTTATGAAACCATAACCTCGTCAATGAGGGAAATTAATGCCAGTAACTACATTTGACCACATTAGAAGAACCCTTATTACCAACTGGGCGGATTATTCCAAACTGAGTAGATTATTCCAACTATCCATACGAGAAATTAATTACAGGATTTTGTTAATTATTCTACCAATTAACTGAAAAATATCCTCAACCAACATAGCAAAGAGGTTTTCCAAACACAGAGGTATAAGAACTCAGCTATCAGAAATCTGATCACGCATTGAAACATGGCGATGGAAACATGGCAAGAAAAATACGGCGATGGGGCACATTGCCTAAATGACAAATGATTAATTAATACTTTGGATCAAATATTACGGACCCTTATCCAGAAATACTTCCAATGTGGCTGGACCAGGTACTTAGAATAACTCTCCCAGGATGATAATTCTATCTGGAATGCTGTTTCTAATAGAAAAGAAGTTACTCTAATATTCCACCTCAATGGCACCAAAGAAATCACCTGCACAAAACCTGAGCCACTAGTTGATAACTGTGTATTTCAGTTTCATATAAACAGCGTATCACAGCCACAAGTAGAACACTTAGTTGTATCATTCATTACACAATTCTTTTCAAGAGCAAACGCGAACAACATCCGTTCATTTATAGCATTTGAAGTCTTGAGATACATCGAGAAAAGAAAGAATCGTAAGAATACTGGAATTGATGGAACTAGCACCAAGATGATTAAAGGAAAAGAATAAAACTGACTATTTAATTTTAAAAGCATTATAAATTTCCTACTTAAACTGTAAAATTTCCAATTCAAATCGAAAACAGCGATCATCGCCCCAATCAGAAAGCCAGAAAAGGACCCACATGATCTTATGTCATATAGATCATTTGGCTTACAGTCTATTCTCAGCAAAATCGCCGAAGCAACTGCACTTCATTATACACACAGATTCATAGAAGACAATAATATCCTTATCTCGCAACATTATGGCTTTCCAACGAAGCATTCTAAAACCTATCAACTTTATTCTGTGACTGGATTGATTGCACAAAATCTACAGAAACTCATCGTCACAAAAGCACTCTTCCTTGATATCCCGAAGGCCTTATGCCAAATAAGCCAGAAAATTGAATACGCAAAGAAACTCAAATGTCCTACTGGCATCACTTGACAGCTTGTGAAGAACTAGTTTTATATATTCCTGCTGTATTATTATTTAGGCATTAGGCAGACTCATTACGGTCCACGCACCGACATGAGTTCTTCTGGATTGATTAGTTTATGATTGGTTTATCTGAGTATAACAAAACACATTAGGGTGATCTACCTAAGCGGAAACATGCGTTAGTTAAGGACCTCTGTCATGGAAACTCAATCGTACCCACGTTACATACGAAAAGCCCAGAAACCCCTATGCAGCTAGCCCATAACCTGGCACTGAATACAAGTCGAACTCGCTATTGGCCTGCTTTGGATGGAAGCTTATCAGGAAAGTTCGACGCCCATTTTAGGGGAGAAAAGAATGTTTTTAATATTTCATCTCACAGATTGACATTAGCATTTTTCTTTATTATTTAATAGAAACGTTTCGATATCTTTTCTTCTGAGGTCATTTTGATTGCCTGTATGCCACGCTGCATTTAAAAAACGAAATAAAAAAAGGAGGTTGCTTCACGGTCATACCATACCATGAAATAAACCGAAGCATAACTGAAATCTCGTTTCTGGAAAAGGATTAAGATTTTTTGCTTATGCACAGAATCATTCCTCGAATAATATTAATATGGGTGGACAATAATGTTCCGTAATACAGAAAATCACTTAAGCAACGTGAAATCGAAAGCTTTCCTTTAACAGCAAAGAATAGGCTGACTACTTTTTTATTGTATATGAGTCTTCAATGTCTATAAAATGTACACGTTGCTCGAAAACGCATGCTTTATTTATTCAAGAACAGAGTAGCAAACAAATGTTTTATTAAATTATTCAGTTATTAATTTGAAAATTAAGTTGTCGTCTACTATTACATTGATAAATTGCTCAAAGAATAAATAATTTCTTTGGAAATTCAATTACCTGCTCCAAATTTGGATACATCTGAAAATAGTAAATATAAATTAATTGCTTTAATATGAGTATTTTATATACAGTTCCATAAAGACCCTATACTGCTTTTTTCTCCTGTCTTCATTTTTAAAATAACAAAGTTTGCCTAACTAAACTCCCTGCAATTCTGATGCGCTTATCTATGAAAACTTAACCTTAGATGAGTCATATAATCTGAAAATAGAATTCGGTATAAAAAGTTAATTGCATCGCAACTCTCTTTCTTCTCTCTTTTCTTCTAATTCTAGACGTTTGTGTCGCCTTGCCGCTAGCTACGCTCAGACTTTACTGCTCCAATTTCGTCCAAAGTTCAAGAAGACGGAAGCTGCAAAAAACTGGGAGGATGCATAGCGCACCCACAGTGATGCTGTGCATTATCATGGAATAAAATTACGTTAATCAAATCATCAAAATCAGCGGCCATGTCTGTCTTCCGAGCGTCATCTTTCTAACTACGTAGTAAAGTCTCTTCAAGTTATAACCCAGAGAACCATCGTCAATCCGTTACAATGTACTTTCACTAAGTTATCTTATTACAATAATAGCGCAGTTTTATTACAATAGTGGAATAGTCTTATTGCAAACCTTACTCGAGCTTGTGCAAAATTATTCTTGCTTGATTGAACAAACATCTACGGAATTATATCGTGGATTTAAAAATGTTAAATTTTCTAGCAATATCAAGAATAAAAAAAATGGGGCCCACCAGCGGCCGAGCGGTAAAGTCGCTGAACACTGGTAGTTCGGTCCGAGGTTCGAATCTCGCGAACGGGCTGGCTGCATGGGCGTTTTCGTGGTTTTCCCCATGTGTAACGTGTATACGAGCCAGTTTCCCTTAGAAAGTCCTCCACGAAGGCATCCCTCCCCCTTAGGCAGAGAGCCCTCGAGGCTTTGCCATAATCACACACACACACATCAAGAATAAAATGAAAAAAGAAAAACATCGCTTTGCCCTGCCTTTCTAGTAATTAAATGTGCAATCTAACTCTGCTTTATAACTAGTGATCGTTTACGTTGGAAGTAAAAATAAAATCATTCATCTGAATATATTAATAAGTGGTTCAAGGTTCTTAGGCTGATGTTTACTTTACATGTGTTTTGAGTCTGCGGCATCGATCTTCGTGTTAAATTTCTTCTTCAGCTATTTTGATCGACTAAATCAATTGACGTTTTTTCAGAATTGCAAAAAGATGAGAATTGTGAAATGTATTTTAAATTTTTCATCTAAATTTAGTGAAACATTCTGAAGTTTAATTGTATTGATTTGCAAAACGAAAAATATTGTTTAAGAATGAATATTTCCGAAATGATTTTTAAATTACAAACTTTGTGAGTTTATTAAATGTTACATTATAAATAATGTATGCTAAGCGTTTTTCATTACATGAAGTAAGTAATTATAATTAAGTACTAATTTAAAACTTAGGTATCTAATGTTGTTTGTATTAGATTTTAAAAGTTTAATACTATTTTTATAAAAATGATTAAAATTTTATGATAGCAACAAATCTAGTTTTTCGTAATTATGTTTTAAAATATATAACGAATGTAAAAATTTTTAATTATTTTACGTAGGTTGGGGCAAAAGTCATGGCAACTATTTTTTTCTTAAAGAGACCAGTCCAGTTGGAAAATCTGACATATACAAACGAAAGGACAAGATCCTAACTACATGTGTGGACAATAAATAGCACTGAAATATCGTAACACACGAATTTATTATGGTAGCATACAGGGCAATATGGCCTTCACCGTTCAAAAGAATGATAACACAATACACATAAAGTTGACATGAAAACCTGGGCCTAAAGACCCTCAAAGTAGTCATCTGCTACTGTCACCACACGCTGCCAAAGATGTGGGAGGCGCTGAATACCATCAGCCTCAGCATTTGCCGCATCATGTGTGAATCGAGTCATCTGTTGGCGCACAGCATTAGCACTGTCCTCTCGTGTTGCACTGTCCTCTCGTGTTGTCCTCTTGTGTGTCCTCTCGTGTTGCACGTATTGGTTCCTTAATCTTGGGAATGAGATCAAAGTCACAGAGCGAAAGATCAGGAGAGTACGGTGGGTGCTCTAATTCTTCCCATCCCCAACGGAGGAGTAGCTGCCATATATTTATGTAGTCTTGCATCGTCGTGCAGAATTATCGCACTGTCCACAAGATCCGAACGTTTATCCCGAACGCCACGTCGTACCTGTCGCACCAGGAAGTCCCTGTAGTACTGTGCAGACACTGTTATGCCATGAGCTACAAAGTGGCAAGCAATGACACCCCTGATGTCATACGCGACGATCACCATCAATTTGACTGGGGAAAGCTTCTGACGGACCTTCTACTGATTTGGTGATCCAGGATGTCGCCACTCCGCGGACTGAAGTTTCAGTTCTGGATCGTATGCCCTGGCCCAAAATTCATCGATGGCAATTATTCGTGACAAGAATTGATCGCCGTCCTGTTGCCAGCATGCAAAGTGGTCGGAGAATATTGCATAGCGCACAACCTTTGAACTTCCGTCAGTGCATGCGGTACCCACCACGAAGCGATTTTGCGTAGCTGTAGCTCATTATGCAATATCCTGTGGACGGTGCGTTTCTCGATGCCAGTTGCACTCATGGATGAAGACAGACGTCCACCGTCTGTCTTCATCCATGAGGTTCTCAATGACGGCACGTGCCAAGTTGGTCCGTACACTCACCGGTCGTCCCGAACGTTGTTCATCACTGGTTGACACACGTCCTTGCTGAAACTTTTCTACCCACCGAGCTACCGTTCGATATGGTAGGGCATTGTTCCCAATGGCTTCTACTAATTCACTCTGACATTCCTTCTCATTTCTCCCTCGGAGAACGGCTATTTTGATGTAAGCGCGCTGCTCAACACGGGTTACTTTCATCTCGCACGACACTCACCAACTAAAACTGATTTCAGAACCCTCGCTACCACAGAGCCAGCTATCATGCATTATGCCTGCAGAATTTCCACGCGACACATATACGTTTTGTGATCCGTTCACATATCTACAAGAAAAAAATAGTTGCCATGAGTTTTGCTCCAACCCTCGTATTTAAGGAAGGTTATTAAAATTACTCTGATACTAACGAGAAATGCGATTATTGTTTGAAAATTTGAATTTTAAGATTCGTTTAGCACTTAATTTCAATACATATAACATTAAAATTTTTATTATTCAATTGAAGAATAGATGCTTATTAATGTTCAGTTGATGAACATTAACAGATAATTATTACTATTCATTTGACGAAGACAAACGCCTAATTAAATTTTTATTTAAACTCTTATATGATCATGTTGCAATAAAAAATGTAAGTATTTTTTCCCTTATTCTTTTTTTAAACAAGTTCAAAAATTTTTAATCTATAATTTAGTTATGCTATTTCTGCATAAACATTTATAATTAATATCAATAATATTAATATTTTGTTGAATTCAATTTCTTAAAATACACAGTATGAAGTATCAATTAGCATGGCAGCTTTTTATTTAAAACTGCGGAGCAGCATAGGTGGCTTCTCTTAACTTCGCTACTTGTTCAGATCTATAAATTGGCTTTTTTAAGTCATTTAGAAAATTTTTAATTAATTAAGGAGATAATATTTGTTCCAACGACATTTTTACCTCTGCTTCAATTAGGAACTTGAGATCGTCTTTACGTAAGCATATATACTGCATGAAGATAGCTTGTACATATACTGTAACTTATATTAGAGTTATATTTAGTGATATAGCTGAAGAAAATATATTTATTTACCCATATCCGATCCATACCAAAGCCCGGCACCATAGTCTTCTTGACCTGGAACAAAAATATTTGCATGTATTTACCAAATACGTATGCACGATTTTAGCTTGCACAAGAAATCCTATACAGATTTTACAACAAAATTCAGAAAAAAACTTTCAAAATCTAATTTGTATTTGTGAATTCGTTTCTTTCTTATTAATATTAGTTAAATATGAATATTACAATATAATATATCTTTATTACTTATGAATATTTTGTTACTGATGGTAACTCTCAGTTAACCGGGAGAGGGTTATAAGATATAAGTAATCGGAACAGAGTAAAAAATTAAAAATAGTACACTGGGGGAGTTTATTACAATTTTCATTCGTTTGTTTACTATTTGTTTGAAAATTATATTACATTAGTTTTTTACTGTAATATACTTAAATGTATATTACAGTAAAAAGACAATATACTTAAATGCATATTACAGTAATGTAATATAATTTTCAAATAAATAGTAAGCAAACGAATGAAAATTGTAATAAACTTCCCTCGTCGGTTTGATCATATGAACAGAAAGTTAATTTTCTAAATTTCAAATGTCAGATTCATAGATATAACCTAATGAATTTAAAAATATGTATATACCGCTAATACACTCTTGATATACACAGACAAATATAATAATTAAATGGAAAAGGAAATGATGGAAAGGTTACCATGATCTATAACCACAGTTGTCCCATTAAAATATTTATAAAAGCACAGCAATACTTTCAAATAAAAGGAAACTGAATTACAAGGTAAAGATTTGCTAAAGAGAAAATGTAATATGATATTTACACAACTGAAGAATACTATAAGGAGGTCAAGTTTGTTTTGAGGCTCTTTCTCGAAAGTAATCAATTTTTTGTACTCGAATCAGCTCAGATAGTTCTGCCAAATGTAAGCGAAGTGAATGAGACTAAGAGTAGGAGTACGACTAAAAAGAAATGGATTTTGCATTGAGATACTATGTGACCCACTTTCTCAATAAGAAATTTTGGAATGAGAATTCATTTTCCGCCCCTTAACGACTCTTCCCATCCTTTCTTCATAGGTAATAGACACTTTTATCTGCGCATTTTCCAATCCCTTCCCTTTTCTATCAGACCTTTAGTGGTGTCACGTGATGCCCCCCTAAACCATCAGAGGCAGGCACACCGATTCAAAAAAATGGGACAATTCAATATCTCACTTTTAATTCCCGGAAACAGCATACGTTACGACGCATTTGAAAAATGTATATATTAAAAGAGAAAGTACAACAAACTTCAATGGCCTATTCAGAAAGGTTGCATAAATGAGAAAAATGTGCAATCTACAAAGCCACTTGCGCGGCCCGCCGCGTAGGAAAGCCGCATTCATATAAAAAAGAAAGAATACGCTGTTTTAATGAGTCCAACTAGCGCCATTTCGTTAAAATATTTAATATTTTTGATAAGACATTTCATTATTTAAATGCATTTCTATTTAAATCAATCAGATTCAGAAGTAGAAAGAATATTCATAGCAAATTCGTACAAAGCATGAAATGATTATAAAACGTATTAGAAACTCAAAATTTGGCTTCGAAGTGCATATTTATGTTGAAAATTTGGTAACTCTGGGTGTCAACGTTTTTGCGTAATACGAGGAAGATATAAACATATATGCAAACAATTCCTTCATTATTTACTGGTAGAGATATGCATACACAATTTTCCGTTGCATTACACAGTTTAAACATTGTGATACCGCTTTACGCAATTTTATCATTCTATTTTAATTTGATAAAATATTATCATTATTTTTCTAAAACTTCAAATTTTGTACTTTTAAACAGCCCGAATCTAATAATATAACATGAAAAAGAGAAACGAAAGAAAGAAAATCTGAAATGTTTTAATGTTGTACCAGAGAAAATCAGCAGCTCGAGCTGACAATTAATTATCTCTAAGAGTTATCATACAGAAGAAAAAGTGAATAAAGATCTTAATGAGACCAGCGAGTGTCATTTTGTCCAGCGGGAAAATTCATGATTTAAATACATTTTTATTTAAATCAATCACGCTAAGATTAGTACATATGTAATACGTAAAGTATTATAGTTATTTTCGCACAGCAATATAAAGATATTTTAACTATGACTTTCTAACATTCAAAAATAATATTTTGAATATATAGAACAGGTTATCAAAGGTCAAGCTATATTTCAAACAACCGCGTTCATCTGCTTTTAAAATTTTAAATTATATTCTCAGTAGGGATCGAAAAAAGTCTTTTGAAAAAGGTCAGATCGTAAAGTTTTTCGGCTTAGCAGTCCACGCTGCAAATTCGAAGACATATGTATTTGTAATTTCATTTATACAGCAACTAAGAAAAACCGCTTAAATTTTTCTTAAAGAAAGTGATATTTTTATGATATATGTAAGAAAAATAAAGAATATATAAAAGATTAAATTAGCAACGTAAATTTCCTTTCTCTATTCTAAAAAATCTGATGTGTACACCACATGACTTCCTTGTACGGAATATTAAATTATAAGCATTTTTTCTTGCATTTCATTTAAACTTATTGGATTGAATTAAATGTACTTCGCCGACAGCGCATAAACCACAATAGAATAAATGCATTTTTTAAAATTCACTCTAGTATTTGTTTACCATAGCGACACTCTGGCGCTCGATTCACTTAACAGTATTAATAATTATATAACAGTTAACTTATATAATAAGTATATAACGGAAACTAAGTTAACTGTTATATAATCGAATAATTATATATCAGTTAACTTATATATTTCGTTCATATTGTAACTCATAATGGACAAAATTTATATCATTTAGAAAATAGAATTATCTAATCGTTGCCACATGTCTTATTCAAATACTATAATAAATCTAGAATGATGTATAAAAGAAATTAAGCAAACAAAACAAAAAAAGAAACAGTTTTTCACAGACGATTGAGTATTTCTCATTTAATTAATTCAGTTCTCACTTCGCGAGAAGGCGAAAATACATAAAAACTCAAAATATCTATATTAAAAATTACGAAGTAAATCTTAAACACTTATTTCCTCGAAAATTTTCCAGAAAGAATTAAGCATGATTTAATTGGCAATAATAAATGAACGCATTATCTTTGTTGTTGCGAAGCTAAGTTTCTCTAGATTGGCAACAAATCCACTAGTCTCCTGTTTCAAATGTAAACATCAATGGCCGCTATCAAGAGAAGTATTAGGCTTAGCGGCACTTAAACAACTTTAAAATTGTTGATAATTCTAAAAATATTGCATAGAGATTTACTAAAGGCATAAAAACCTTAACCGGAAGATAAGAACAACATAATTAAATCATTTTTAAAGCAAAAACTGTACAATTTACAAACATATCAGAGTAAAGCAACTGAGATCACTGAGCCGGGTAACAGAGTGGATATATATATAAATATATTTATATACGTTTGGTGCGGCCTATTGCAACCAAAATACGATGTGCACATCTACATGTTATATCAGGCCTATATACAAAATTTCAACATGCTGAGGCTACTCGTTTTTGAGTTATGCGAGATACGTACGTACGCACGCACGTACATACGTTCGTACAGACGCCACGAAAAATTCTCTTCGGAATTAATTTTAAAGCAGATTTACAATTTTTTTGAAGGAAAAGAGTATTTTATTCTGTCCTTACGTACAGATATCACGCAAAACCATGGTTAAATTGCATTCGATAGCGGTCAAAATGGATATTTTCGTTGAAATATGCTGCCTGATACTTTTCGCGATTACAATACTTCCTTTTTACTTCGTACAAGGAAGTAAAAATAATAATCCCTCTCTGCACTGCGTCATTTCGAGACTATTCTATGTCATATGGTTCTTACGTAATTATAATGATGTAAATGGAACTAAAACTTAACCAACTAATAGTAATTTTAGACCAATATTGACTATCCAATCAGAATGCTTTGAGAACCAAAACGGACTCAGTCTGAATAAGATTTCAACCTAAAAATAATGCAATTGCTTTCCACGCTTTGGCCTAGCTAGACTGTTGTCTGTCTGCTGGTGCTTTCTTGCCAGGAAATAATTCTCCTCACATTAATTAATTAAATACCAAATCCGTAACAATATTATATAACAGTAAAATTCTGTACTAATGCGATGAACGCCATTGCTTTTCTTGGAATAATTTCAGTATACTAGAGTTTAAATATGGTACTTCCAATCATTGAACTTGTCTGCTAATGTTTACGCTGAAGTGACAAAAGTCATGGGGTACCTCCTAATATTTTGTCGGTCCTCCTTTTGCCCTGCGAAGTGCAGCAACTCGACGTGACATGGACTCAACAACTCGTTCGAAGTCTCCTGCAGGAATATTGAGCCATGCTGCCTCTATAGACGTCCATAATTGTGAAAGTGTTGACGGTGCAGGGTTTTGGGCACGAACTGACCTCTCGATGATGTCCCATAAATGTTCGATGGGATTCATGTCGGGCGATCTAGGTGGCCAGATCATTCGCTGGAATTGTCCAGAATGTTCTTCTAACCAATCGCGAACAATTGTGGCCCGGTGACATGGCGCATTGTCATCCATAAAAATCCCATCGTTGTTTGAGTACGTGAATGGCTGTAAGTGATCTCCAAGTAGCTGAAGGTATCCATTTCCAGTCAATGATCGGTTCAGTTGCACCAGAGGACCGAGTCCATGCCATGTAAAAACAGCCCAGACCATTATGGAACCACCACCAGCTTGAACAGTGCCTTGTTGACAACTTGGGTCCATGGCTTCGTGGGGTCTGCGCCACACTCGAACCCTACCATCAGCTCTTACCAACTGAAATCGTGACTCATCTGACCAAGCCACGGTTTTCCATTCGTTTAGGGACCAACCGATATGCTCACGAGCCCACGAGAGTCGCTGCAGGCGATGTCGTGCTGTCAGTAAAGGCACTCGAGTCGGTCTTCTGCTGGCATAGCCCAAGGAAGACAAATTTCGCCGCACTGTCCTATCGGACACGTCCCTCGTACGTCCCA